TCAAACAACGTCTCTTTTGTATGGATTAAAAACAAAACGTATTCATTGACGGAATTTATTCATGTCCGAACTAACTACACAACACATACCTGTTCAGCTACGACCTCGTCAAAATTATGCATGTTACATTTGAAATATCACCCACTAGAACAAATCAATTCAGTTATGTTCGTACTTTGCATTATTGATATCTTTATAGATTTGATGGAATGCAAGCTTGTAAAATTCTGAAATGTCCAGAAAAGAGAAATTTCCATTTTGGAGCGCTTTTTCGATAGCCGATTACTCAAAAAAATTGTTTTTATATTAAAAAAAAAGTAAAAACACTACATTAAACTACATAAAATCTACAATTGAAATCGCCCTACCCGAACTCATTTCGGCAAATCTTCAAAGATTTGAATATCCATCTTAATATTAGGATTATGATAACATCCCTTTGATTGGAATATTAATATTCATAAATGTTAAAAGCAATGCGTTCGATCGGAAGCTGGAGATGGAAATATGATGATTTCGCCTTTCTCTATGTCGATGTCACTTACACTCCTCTCGCAAGGTACCAATGGAACAACTTTTGACGAATTGAGAAAAGGCCTTTTTCTTAAACAGTAATAAGTCAATAGTGGCCGATCAATTCCATGAATTTGATGAATTAATCCGTAAAAGTGCCAGCGAATCGGAATTATTGATTTCAAATCGAATTTATGTACAGCGAGGACATCAATTGAACGAAGGTTTTGAAGAGGTTGCCGTCAAGAAATTTTCATCTGGCATTGAATCTGTGAACTTTGTACAATCAAATGAAACCGCACAAATCATCAATCGTTTCGTTGAACAAAAAACGAAACAAAGAATTAAAGACTTCGTGAAACCGCACGTGATCAATGAAAATACGTATGTCTTTCTGGTAAATGCTATATACTTAAAGAGTAAATGGCGGTATGCATTTAAAAGATCACAACCATGGAAAATAAAATTTTATTTCAACGAATCGGATTCAGTTTGGGTCGACTCATTGCATATGAAAAAAATGGACTTTAATTTTGGATATTTAAAAGATTTGGATGCTAAGGGATTAGAATAACTTACGCCAATTCAAATTTTACATTTTTGATAATTTTTCCCAACAATCGAACCGGATTGACTGCACTAGAGGCTCAATTGAAGAACTATGATCTAGCAAAAGTTTTTGATCAAATGCACATTACAAAAATTTATGTTGAAATTCCAAAATTCAAAGTAGAAACTGAAATTTATTTGAAAAATATCCTAAAAAATGTATGTATTGAATTATCTTTATCTTTATCTTTTACCAATATATGAAAACAATATCAAGGTATTGAGATTTACATTTAGTTGGGAATGCCTGAGATGTTTGGAAAGTGAGCTGATTTGAGCGGTCTTGTTAATACAGAAGAATCACTTTGGGTCTAAATATTTCTTTTACTTTAACACGTGTCAAGTCGATTTTTGTGATAACTTCGGTACTAGTTTAACACTGGAAATGTAAATATGTCTATGCATTTAATACGTGTTATCTCCGTATTTTGGTGCTAATCGTGGAATTTCGTGTTAAAACGGAAAAAATGACGTCAAATTGTGTTTTAACATAGATGATTGCAAATTCCAATTATATTTTATTGTTTAATAACATTGTTTACTTGTTTGAAATGCTTTCAGCTATTTATATCTACAAAAAATTTCTTGAATATTTTGGAATTATTTTTAAAACAAGATCAAATTAAGAAATAAAATTTTGATTTTTTCCAAGCCTAATTCATTTCTCCTGGAAGGTTTTAGAAGTTAGATTTTTAACTTGGACAAATTTTGAACGCATTGAATGATTAGTTTGTGAAAAATAAATGAAACTTCAATCAGACTTAAAACTTAGACTTCAAACCTGAATAATAATTCTAAGCCAAATTAAAAAGTACGAGTTAACCGTAGCACGAGCAATCTGTGCCATTTTTCATAGGGCGCCTCCACTCACATTAAATTTGTATTATGAATGTTAAGGTGCGTTCAGCGCCCTTCAATGTAAAACCAATTCAAGTGGAGGATGGCACGCGGGGTTTACTTGTACTTTCATTTATTTGTTCTGAAAATTGATATTGTTTGAAAAACGGCTTAAAATTATTATTCAGGTTTGAAGTCTAAGTTTTAAGTCTGCTAGAAGTTTCATTTATTTTTCTCAAAATTATCATTCAATGCGTTCAAAATTTGTCCAGGTTAAAAATCTAACTTCTCAAACCTTTTGGAAGTTTTGAAGAAAATTCGGGAAATTTCGAGTTATTTTCAAGCCTAAGAAACTAATCCACGAAAAAATCTTATAAATTGGAAAAATATCAATTTTGGATCAGTATCAATAAGAATGCAGACTCCAGAGATAGAAAAATTGTTGTTTAATTTTTTTAAATTTGATGATCTTTGATCCAACAATGTCTTTCGGAAACATGTGAGTTCATATTGACTGAACAAAAAAATTGAAGTGTGAACTAAATAAAATTAATCACTGAGAATTATTATCGAAATTGCAACTAATAATATATATTGGCAACACATATAAGCAGAACTGGTGATATTCCTAATACTAGTAAATAGTGGGTACAACTATAACACGAAATTATGGGATAACTCAACAGAAATTACATTAGAATATTCTTTTTCGTGAAAACTTTTTTCGTTCTGTGGCTAACTCCAAAGTAAGAACGTATTTACAATAGTACGAAAATCTGTGTTAGTGGCAAATCGGCATATTTGATACCGATATTGGTGGTATTTCCAACGGAAATATTTACGTTTGGTGTTAAATACATCCATTAGTACCAATTTTCGGTGATAATTTACGAAATAGTGGTAAATGTAGGAATAGTACTTCAGAAAAGGTTCTAGTGTTATTTTATCACTAAAATCGACTTAACACGTGTTAAAGTAAAAGAAATATTTAGACCCTTTATGTCAACAATGTCATACATAAGGCTTTCATTGAGATTATTGAAGAACACACTGAAGGTGCCGTCGCTCAAGCTCAAAAATTTGTTCATTAAACTAGGAACTATTCTATGTGTCCATAGTAAAAAAGGGGAAAACAAAAAACGATTCTATATTCCACATATACATTTCCAAAAATGTTTCTGAAAATGAAAGTTCTTCACTGATAATAATAATGATATAATTATGAGTTTATATTAATTTAAAGGGGCTGACGCACTAAGAAAAAGTGGTGGACAACGAAGATTCTATGCTGAACATCCGTTCGTTTATCATGTTTGGGACAAAGAGAACAAAATCTCAATTCTAAGTGGCCACATCAAAAAGTTCGAATAGTCATGCAAAATCTATGATATGTTTGATCTTCAAAAGGTAGGTTTCGAAATATATTTTTTGGTCCATACTAATCTACAATGATAATAATTATTATTAATTTACAAAAAATAAAATTGGCAAAAGTTCATTGAAAATTGTATAAGTTTTATTTAATATGTTCTTGAAATCCATTTTATTAACTCAATCAAAGACCAACGGCAAATACTATTTGCAATGTGTTATTAACCACTTATGTTGCATTTTACAACGTTGATCAACACAAAAGGGCCAAGCAACAAGAATCCATTTAAAACACATTGAACATTGGTTCTTGGAAGAAAAAAGCACGGGAAAGTAATATGTGATGCAGAGGCTGTGACAAGAAGGCTCCTAGTGCGGTACTGGTTGATGAACTCCAGTTAATCATAACGCAATCGGTGGTTGTATTTGATGATCATTTTCATCAAACATCAAACTGGAAAATGTATTGATTTACAAAAAATACAACGACAGAAGATCGAATTCCCTTGTAATATTTAATTCAACTCCGTGTAATTTTTGTTTACAACTGATCAAAAGAAAACAATTCATGGTGCAATGCTAGTCATCCGTCTTAGAATATGCTTGAGCCGAATATATTGAAGAAACAACAAAAATCATTACCTTTTTTCCATAATAAAACTCAAAAATAAATAAAAACTAAAGCATTTTTGTCACCTCCACTCTAAATGTTTCTGTCTTCTTTTAATTTTCATTTAATTCAAGCTACAAAAACAAATTCAAATCTGAATTGGTAACGAATTATTTATAAAAATTTTGTTTTGTTGCTTTGTTGTTAAATAAAAATGAGCAATTATACAATATTTAAATATCTGTTGCAAAAGTGTCAGCTAATTAAATTATCATTTCGCTACTGAATCCGATTTCTCTAAATGAAAAAAAATATATACATATAGTAAATAATTCTAAGCCATTTTCGAAAGGTGAACAGGATGTAAAAATTTTGTTTTGTTTTTCATTTCTTTCCTCACTGTCTCTCTAACATTTGTATACAGATAGCTTACGTGCTAGAAAGAATGTCTCTAATGTGAAGAACCTTGGTTTTGAACTGTTGTAATTGTCCGTAACATACACGTGCAGATTGTCGTTTGACTTGAAACCAAAATTCGACTTTTTCTACATATAAACAATGAAAAAAAACAATCAAACAATTGGAAATATATTTCTTTAAAAAAAAGGCAGGAATTCTAGACTATTCTACAAAATATTCGTTTCAGACATTGATCACCGTTTGAGAAATTGAAAATTATAAGGCATTTTTTCTTATTAATTTTTTTTTTTGTTTGGACAAGGTAGAACGAGATTTTTTTGTTTCATACATCATAAGAATTGGAATAGTAACATAGTTCAGTTTGTATATTAGTTAACAAATTCTTCGAAATGCTACACGAGGGGAGAGGAGAGGGAGGTAAATAGATTTTGTTTGTAATTTGTGCAGATTATTAGTTTTCTGGCTTTGCTTGACTGCGTGATTGTAAATGTGATTATCATTGGTGCGCACCCGTTTTGCCGAAGCCGTTAAGTGGAAACTTCATGAACTACGTGCAATACGGATTGTTAATGCTGCTCCTCAAACAGAGAAGTGCGTTTAGGTACACAATAAAATATAGAGCGTTGGTTTGAGCGCCACACACACACAAAAGAGATCTCACTATTTGATACATTCGAAAAAAAGACGAAAAAATGCTACACAAATACTTCATGTGCTGATTTGTGGTGAAAGTGATAGACAACAGTTTTTACACATCGAAATGTTCTTTGAAAAGGTTAGCCATATTTGTTTGTTACTTAATTTTAGAATATCGAGTCAATGATTATTGTTTTTGTTTTGTTTTGGTTTAGATTCACAAAAAAGTTTTAGCCACCACAATTCAGTACACAAAGCTATTTTCCGAACGCTAGTGGCAGCACTCAATTCACTCGGACACATCGTCCGAACTCTCGACTATTGGTATAAATATATAAATTCAGATTCATCAATTTTTTTTTTGTATTTGTTTTTAGACAACGTTAAATTCGTAGAGTTTTTTTCTTCTTTTCTGCTGTGCTTGTTGATGATTGCATGAAATTTTCAAGTGAATGCCACTTTTCTTCTTAATTTTTTGTTGTTGTATGTAAATTGATAGATTAAATTTTCTATGGCTCTCGATGCCGGATATCGGCCAGGTCGGTTGGTCCAGGTGTTGGCGGTGCTGACATCGGTCTACCGTCGTTGAACACATCATAAAGTCTACTGTTCTTTTCATCATTCGCCTGAAAGCGTTCCATTATCTTGGACACTATTGTTGATGGGAGGACGTGTGGATTTCCTTTATTGGTTTGAGGTTTTTGAAGAAAAATCAATTATTAACAAATTGTATGTGATATTTCAGTAAAGATGTTGCAAAAATTAAAATAACACACAAAAATCGAAAGCAAAATCAAAAGTAGACAAAAGTTTCGTTCGAATTAAACCAAAAAAAAAATTGTTCGTTTCAAAAATCAAAATCACATAGAATTTCAGAAAAAAAAATTGTTAAAGAATTGCTAATATCGAAAATAAAAACGAAAATGAACTGAAAAATGGCTCAATTCAAAAGTGGAACTAATAAGGCACATGCCTACGATTGCAAAACATCAATTAATTTGATAGCCACACAGTCGTGCGGCGCATTAAGTTCTGCTGCATGCGTAATTTCTACTAAATGGATTCGAAGCTCATGCTCACCTCATAGATTATTTTTTTATTTTCATTTTAATGCAAAATTAGAACATAGAAAAAACAAAAGAAAAACGCTTCACAACATCGCTATAAGATATTTCTAATTTGTTACAACAAACAAGTGCAAAATCGATTTGAATGTTAAAAGACCACCTCTTCGAAATTAGCAAAGTGACAATGTGGTTGAAATCTTTGCAGAATTTGCATCCTATCGTCTGATTATGACAAACCATCGAAATTCGTTTTGTGAAGGAAAGAGAGAGAGAGAGAGAGAGAATGAGAGAAAAAAAACGGATGATCATTGAGATCGATGAATGTGGTATTTGTATGGAAAATGGGAAATATACTTATGATGCCTCATTACCTGTTAAACCACGATAACCGAGAATGCTTTGCTCGTGCAAGTTGGTGGCAATTGCTTGTTGTCTCATAAATGCTTCTGTGTCAATGCCACGCACTTGAGATGGTTTCAGAAATCTACCCAAAAATTGGAAACAAAATTAGAATCACAAATCAAACAACAGATTGAAAATGTAATAGAGCGTGCATACCTTTTTGGAATTCGGGAGAGTAAATCTTCTTGGTGCGCTGGTCCAAATCCCAATTGCCTGAGAATGGCTTCTGAATCGGGTTTTCTAGCATCTAAAAGACTTTCGACGCTAGAACAATGACTGGAATCGGATTGAAATGAACTGCCTTTGGATAATTGATTTCGATGCCTCGAACTGTCTGACAACGAATGGTCTCGTGACAACATTCCACGTTTTAGGCCTCTTTGCGTTGGACTCACCGAATATGCGCGCCGTTCAAAGAAATTCCCATTTGATCGATTATTATTCTGGATTGCAATGCTTGACGTGGGCGCACTAATATTTCGTTCACCAATCATAATCGCTTCATCATCTTGATGCTCACTAAAACTTCGTCCAATATCAGCTAAATAGAATTTATTGCGCAACCTGGGATTATCACTTGTGCTCCTTCCGATGTCGGCCATTACAATTTTACGACTAACATTCAAATGGGTTGTGTGACCGTCGTTGATGCTCGGCATTGACACATTAAAACTATCCTCATCGTCGGCCGACAGCATATCGTTACTCTGTGAGAGTCGTGAAAATTCATCGGCCGACAAATCCATATCGATTGTATCACAAACAACTGAAGCTGTTCCACTCGCTTTCGGTTCGCTGACTATAGTCATAGTCGTCATCGTTGCAACTGGTGGCAACGTTCCCGTCGTCGTCACCATCGCCGCCGTCTCCTCCTCCTCCTCCTCTGCCGCTGTCGTTGTTACATTACTATCACTATGATCGTCACTAGCTGCCATCATATCATCTTCATTTTGCTTGCTTTCATCCCAATTGGTTGCGGCTAAGAATCGACTCTTTGCATTGTTCAACAGTTTTTTGGCTTCCATTTTTCGCTCCTTAATGAAATTGTACCGCTTTTTATTGATGCTTAGTTTATAGTAAAACTCATTTAGTTTGGATTTATTTAAGACTGCTTGATTTGATGCTGTGCTTGTTGTATCGGGCTCATCGCTTTGAGGTAATTGAGGCGATGATGGTGATGCATTGAGATCCTCTGTTTCTGTATACCGATTCGAGTCGGTGCTCGATCGTCGCGTTGTTATCCGCAAAGCGGTCAAAATTGACGGTCCTTTTTGCCAAAATCTACGATCCGTATTACCTGTCACACTATCGACTCCACTTTCAATCGATTCGACCTGATGCTGCGCTGACGTTCTATCGGATGATTGTGTTGTATTGTGTTCACCACTCGTTTCACTGTGCAACGATTCGTCTTTGCGATTTACACTCAGCTCAGCAATTTGCTCGGTAATACCAACTACGTTGGGTTCGGCTGTGCTTGTGCGACGACTATTTTTTCCACAAAATTTTTCTTCGGCTAAATTTTCATCCACAATGTTTGTCTGTTGAAGGCTGTCGGTTGCATGTATCGTATCACCCGGTATTTCTGTTACGTTTTCATTTGGCAATGAATCTACCCATCGTTGAACAACCGCCGGACTCTTTGTTCTCATCTCACTCACAAAATTCGTTACCCATGAGCTCACTTTGATTCGAACTGGAAAAATTACGAAACAAAAAGGAAAGAGTCATATAAAACAACGGAAAGAGAAAAAGGGAAAACATCAAATTAAAAATGTTTAATTGTGCACGTTTAACCAAATAGAAGTCACGAATAAATCATTTAACATACATTTATCTACGATAAAAATGTACAAATTACTAACGATTTGAAAATAAAACAAACTAAGTGGATGGAACTTGTAGTGTGATGCTGTGCTGGGAGGGACGATAAAGATTAATCGAAAAAGAGCGGAAGGCTCAAACAAATGCAAAAGATCTACCTCAGTGACCAGCTCGAGAGCAAATGATTGAAGTGATTTGAACGCTTTCTTTTTGAACCTGTTGCGTGCAACTGAGTCACTCATTCAAGCAATAAACAACAGTGATGCTTTGTATGGTCGCTGCGCGCGTATTTCAACTTGAAATTTTCAAGCTAACACAAATTCTACCCAGGTGCACATATCGACCAGACAGACACTATATGGTGTGATGTGTGCTGTTTTTTTTTATCCTAGCTCTCTATATATAAATAGCTACAAAGTAATCATGTGAATCAAATCAAATCAAATCAAATTGGAAACATGGCAAATAAATCATTACAAAAAACAAACAAATTAAAAATCCTCTTGAAATCAATAACGGTCCCTGATGCATGTTTAGCGTCAACATTCATCTATAACTTTCAGTTCGTAACAAAAATCGAGCAACAACAACAACGAAAAAAAAACATCTAAATTGATGCCACGACAAAGGAAAAAAGCGAATGAAAACAAGCTAAAAATGCAATGTAAAATCAAAATTGAGATCATGAAACAGAATATTTCCAATCAATATTCAACCAAATAAATGATTGAGCGAGCTACAGCTAAGTGGTATATATGTGTATTCGATTAAATGCGTGTGCGTACGTGCAATGATTTGTACTCTTGTGGATAAATCAAAAAGAAAAGAAATTTTTTTCTATAAAAATAAATGCGATATAATTATGGAAACTAGATGCGCATAATTTGGCACATGATTTGTTCGATAGGAAACACATGAAACACTACGCACTTTGTTTACATTGAGAAAAAAATCATACGTGTAATCGAGTGAACGAGAGCGAGTGAGTGCAATAAAATGGGAGCACAACAAACCGTTTGTATTTGATGTTGTCGGTTGACATTCATCAGCGCCATCAGTTTCATTATCCATAGTTTATTTATGTCTCTCTTTCTCTCTTAAATATATTCTGACTTTTATTTTATCCTATCGAATGCATTGATAGCATTTGTATGAGTGTAACACTTTTTTATCTCCCTCTCTCTCTCTGTCTCTCGGTAGCTCTGTTGCATGTGTTGAAAATAAGGCAACAAAATAGAAAAGAAGTTAACATTAATCGATAAGTCACACATTCAGACAATATAATTCTGTTTTTTTTTTGTTCACTCGTTCAAATAATGAAAAAAAAGTGATTGAAACATGTATAGAACAATAGAGTTCATTGTAAAGGGGTAAAATGAGACGGACGAGAATAACAAACAACAAAAAAAGGGAATAAAACGAAACAAAATAGAAAAACAATTGTCAAGTAAAGCAACACCATGGTGGTGACATAAGAAAAATCGAAACGCCGCAATTATTTAGCTTGCAAGTAATCAAGACCATGTGCAATTTTGCTTCTTTGTTTTTGAGCCGTTTACAAGCCGAGATAATTACGGTTGTAGTTTCTATGTAAGGTATTTTCGGAAATTTTTCATCTAATTTTAAACATTGAATTGTTTCAATAAATAGATTCGCATTGATCAAATGCGCGACGCACTGTAGTTGAAAAAAAAACGGCAAACACGAAAAAAACAAACATAATTTTAACCTGAAACGGCCAATGTCTATGCGGAGCGCATACAGGTGAGAAGTGTCTAAATAAATATGTATTAACCGTTTGGGCAAGGTGAAGAAAGACGTGATGAAACGGCCACGGCATGGCATGGCATGGGTAAACTAAGCAAGACGGAGAAAGCGCGGGAACGACAGCAAAATACATATATAAATTTAGGCATCGTGTCGATGTAAATGGTGCAAGGTTGACAAGTACATCAAAAGCTTATGCTTTGTTCGACGCAATTAAAATGAGATGAAAAAAAAACTTATATACATAGCGAGAGATGTAAAGCATATACCATATTGCCCATGTACGCGTGCGATTTCACGTTTGCTTGAATAGAATGCTTTGATCGTTGATCCATAAGCGTTGAATCTAACACAATAAAAATTCACGCAATTTTCATTGAACCAAAAAAAAAACAACAAACAAACGACGCATTAGTTAGCATAAATGGCAAGTTGCTAGTACAGATTTTCGTAGAAATTACAAATTCGCATGTTGCAAGTACGAGAGCGGTACACAGGCAAAGTACAACATTGTTGTTATTTATATTGATTGCACCGTATATGCGCACACAGCAAGAACAACAACAAAAAACCAACAAATTGCCTTTTTTTTCTTTATTTGGATGGATGCTTCGCCTGAAGCGCTCTTGTTTGTTTATTATTTTTTCTTCTATTTCTGTTGTGCTGCCGCCTTTCGCGCGAATATTCATTAGACTTTATTGTGTATAGAGAGAGGGACACACATTTGTTTTTCAGCTCTTCCGCATAATTATTATCAATGATAACGTCGTTCTGCAACATATAGCTTCATATGGATTCGAGTATGTATGTACCTTTGCCGCATCATCCGTGCGCTCTCTCTCTCTCTCTCCCACACACACACACACACACTTACACTGTCTATCTGTGTGTTTACAAGTTTTTTTCCTCTGTTGTGCAAAGCACATAGAAACAAATGTAACAGGAACAGACAAGAGAGGAGAAAAAAATGGAAGAAATTCCGAAAAGTGGAAAAAAGCAATCGAACGGACGATTAATTTTTAATGATTGTTTCATGACCTAATTATGATTGATCCGATAGTGAATCCGGTGGTAAAGGTCAGTTTGACAGGTGAACATCGGAAAATCCTTCGGGAAAACCTTTCCAATGCGATTACATTACAATCTCATGTTACTTGTCACAATCAATAAGTTTCCTTCGATGGAACTTGGAAAAACAATTTCTTTCACTCGTCAAAAACTTTTTCTTAACTCTTTCCAACCATACACACAAAAAACACTTTGTTTTTTTCCATTCTTTAATTATTCTTGATTGATTGTTTTTCAATGATACATACATACCTTGATGATTTAAAGCAAATAATCATTTAGTTCCACGTTCAACAATAACAACAATTTAATCACAATATTCTCGGAACAAAAATAAAGAAACAAGAGATTTTTTTTTTATTTTAACACGGAATGAAAATATAGGAATTGCTGCCCCGATTCAAACAAACAGAAAAAAAAATTAAACTAAAATGGCAAACGAGTTACATTGCAAAATAAAATACACAGTTTCATGTTTCTAATCAACAATAAAACGTCTTTAATGACTATTTTTGTTTATTTAAAAAAAAAAGAAATGAAAATAAAATCGATAAAATATCACAAGAATACTATCATTTTCCTGCTTCACCATCTGTACTGTACTGATATCATTTTAACTGTCAAAAAAATTGTTGCCGTTGTGTCAAATCATGTTGACATTTAATTGTTTTCATCGTCTTCGAGATTTCGTTGTTGTTGTTGTTGTTGTTGTTGCTGTTATTGCTATGACTGTTCAGCGATATTGCTACTGATACGAATGAGAAATGAAATACAATTGGTTTCTTCCGTTGGTTGTTTATTTTTTCTGCGGTGAAATTGTTTTTTAATTCAATTTGCACAAAATTTTAAGTGAACGGTGATTTCAGTATGTCAGCGTGTTTGCATAGCTTTGTTAAAGACGTCGTTCGTCAAATTTTCGACTCAAATGAACGGCTTGATCAGCGGCACTATCGTTTGTTGTTGAATTTACCGGCCGTAGAAAAGGTATATTTTGTGCTGTGTGCTGTGTGTATTTGATTTAAATTGTGGTTTATTCATTTTTTATTGTTATAAAGCAAGCATTAGCCAAATCTATTATGGAGCTAAATTGGAATGTGGGCAGTCCGATTGCTATGAAATACTTACAAAAATCGAATATTCTGAGTATGTCTGACATGATTGTGAACACATATAATCAGAATCAAGAAGGTGCCCAGCTCATTTTTAATGATCTCTTGGAAACGGAACACATGCTATTGGGCGATTTGGTAAAAAATTCCAACAGCACGGATCCAATCGGAATGTCAGTATGCGAAATATTGAATGAAGGATTCAAGCGGCTGTGCAACGATGTCATTCAAAATCCAAGCATTTTAGTGACGAATTATTTGAGCGAAGTTGATGAGTATATACCAGGTGGGTATGGTTAGTCTTCAAGAAAAACATGGGATTCATTTTTTGTTGTTGTAATTTTTCATTTTTAGAAGAATATTTCGAAGAACTTCGTCTGATGCATCTGAAGCTGATACTTAACGATGATCCAAAAAACACAACCGATGATTCGATTAGTACTCAATTTGCGTGGAATAATGAAATCACCGACGAACACATTGTGCTCAAATCATTTCTTACCACTATCGTTGGCAATGACTTTCACACACAACGAAACACATTCGAAGCAATTCTGGAGAAATGCGACGATTGGTTACAGCAGAGTTGGAAAACCGTTTTGTTACTATTGAGATTTGTGATTGACAACGATGTGTGTAGGAAGTTCAACGCCGAACAGCTGTACGAGCTCAAAACGAGGACTAAAAGTTTGTTCTTTTTTTGTACATTCACAGTGTGAATTTCAACCTTGGATAAGAAATCAATCCATTTATTCAATGTGTTTTGATTCTTTGAACAGAGTTCTTGCAAAGTACCTTTCGGCGAGCGGTGGAAGAAGAAGACGAAAACGGTTTTCATGTGCTATTTTTAGTTGCCAGACAGCTTACACGGTATAATGTGTCGGTCTTTGGAGATTATGCAACTTGGTGGGTTTCTCGTTTAAACAATCGTTTCCTTATATTCAAGCCGATACTTAAAATAAAAGCCGCACAAACTGAGTGCTTAATAGGTTATTTCCTTGAAAATAGGTTCAAAATAACAATCGGTGAAATGAGCTACAAGCTGAAATCCAAAGAGTTTACCTTGGTCATGCAACTCTTAGCCGGTATGGTTCAGTTGGAATCGGATCCAGATATTTTAGATGTAAATGCTAAGCTACTCCGAACATTCTTTCGATTCAATTAAAACACAGTTTTCCTCCATAGGTGCATATAAATACTTCAATACAAGCTGCACCGCGTTGCGGTCAGCTCGTTATGAACTATAAGCAACTGTGTCAGAGTAGGCAATTGCATTTGCAGAGTCCAACCGTGGAGAATCCAATTGTGATAGATGAAGATGCCGACGTTTTCATGTTGGACGATGATGATTAGTACAAGACAAAATAATTACACCTTAAAGACTGAAACTACCCTTGAAAATTAGTATTTAAAAATGCAAACATCAACAATTGTTCTGTGAATAAATCTGATTTAATTTTTGGAGAGTTAAATTTGTTTAAATTGGCTACAATAAACGTTTAGATTGACAATTTGTAACATTTGAAGTGAATGTCGATCACCATCAGCCGATTGAACGTGGCGGTGCTTCTAATTGCAACGTAAGACTACAACTATCATTGGCATTATTTTCATAAAAGCAATCATTTGGCTTGGCCAATTCAACGGGTTTCGTTTGATGGATTTCGTTATCGCAACGTGGACATTGGAGTTTTTTATCGGATTCCGTGTACATTTCTTGCACACAACTATGATGTGCCGCATGGCCACACAGGCCAAAAATCAATGATTCCTGTTGATTATAAAGCTTTGACCGGCATAAAATACATTTGATTGATTTGATGGATAAGCCACGATTTGCGATTCGTTTCTCTTGTGCAAGCATTCGATGCAAATCATGGCCTAGAATACGAGCCGTCGTTTGTTGCAACAGTATTTCATACTTGGAATTGGCCAACATACCGACGAGCAAATGCTTGATATCGCCCAAATTGCCCGTTTCACTGCTTGAAGTCAACACTAATTGCACTAAATTGGTCAGATCAACGTGACCACTGGCCGCATGTAAAATACTTTTCGTTATCGCATTCAAATCGTTGCGCGACAGAACCGTTCGGATCAAGGTGAACCACAGCTTTTCGCGATCGCCATTCGATAATACATCTAATGAGCGTGAACAAAGTGCACTCAATTCCAATGCCCGGTTTTCGGCCATGCCCTCAGGCGTTGCTTGTAACATTTCTAGCGACAAATTAAAGGCGGCATCGATGTCACCTTGCCGTTCATACAAGTAGATAAGACAGTCATGTAGTTCATATTTTTTGACGATTTCAATGGCCGTTTCAAGGCGATAATTTTCGTTTGTGCGCAAGAATCCATCGACACTGTTCACATCGTGCCGGCACAACAGATTCAAATACGTCTCACAATCGTTTGAATTAATGCTAATGCCATGCTTTAGCAGCATCGAAATAAATGCAAACAAATTCGTTTCGTCGGCGGCGAGCAGTCGAATCAGTTGGCCCACATTTCGTGGAAAGAATTCAATCATAAATTGTGTAACTTTTTCACTACTTATGCGCAGCAATTCGGCGAAGTGATCGTGGCATTGTTGGAAGATTTTTCGTTCAGGTCGATTTGCTTGTAGCTGCAGATAACTCCAGACTTCGTTGTGTCGATGTGGGTCAAGTAAATAGCAATCCAATATCTGATTGAATGACTTTTGTTTCTCCAACAAATGTTCAACCACTCGATAGCACTTGGATTGACGAGCAATTGTCAAATGCTCACTCAAACTTAGTGTATTGATGCGATCGGCTTCAAGCAACGCAAGCCAAGCTTGCTCTCGATCCGAATGTTGGCGTGCACTTTCATTTTCGATTTTTTCCATTTTCACATAGTCCAACACCTTTTGCAGCAGCACTGAATCATCAGGTAGATTATTGGCAGCGATTTCATGGGCTACAAAATTGAGTAGGCAACCAATTTCCGTCCACTGAAAATGCTCAGGACTCATGATGTCGAGAAGAATGTTGACGATTCGCTGTCGATGGGATTGCCCCAGTTCACCGCTGAATTCTTTCTCTTGAAATGCTAGTGAGATTACGTTTAACGTTTCCTGTGAGTCAAAAATTAGCAACGCTCGCAAATATGGATATGGTAACTCTGATTCGACAGCACGAATCGAATGGATGGATGTTAAGCAGCGCAGCACTTCATGCTTTACATTTTGAATGATTTCCGGATTTATATAGCCCGATGGATAACCGCGACCCGATAAACAGCTTGATATGTACACGAGCAAATAGTTGCCCAAATTACGATCGTTCTCATGGGTGATTTGTGGTATGAGTTCGGTGAGTGACAGGCAATAATCGCCCAATGCCACCGTATTCAAGTGCATTTGAGCACGATAGAGTTTCTCCCGTTTTGCTGCCGATAGCACCTGATGCAAATCCAAACACTGCCAATCCAACTTTAGAATAATCTCTTCCAGTTTGACGGGCGATTGTTTCAACCAATATTCACACAGGCATTGCGACACAACTGGTGATATATAGGAAATATTTCCATTCTCAATTTGTTCGCTTAATAGAATGATGTAAGTATCTTTGGTGGTCAATCGTTCCCACAGCTCCTGCCACAGCATTTCATACTCTTGGATTTCGATTAAACAAGCCATGATTGAATTAAGGCACAGTTCAGGACATCTTGCACTCGCCGTCAAGTATTCTTCCACCAATTGGATTACACGATCTTTGGCCATTTGTTTTCGTCGCGAACGATCGCCGGCACTTCGATAGCCCTCAATAGCTAGCGAACATGCTTCACACCACCGTTGATTCTGAGCTAAATGCGTGATGCGATCACTCCAAGAGCGAACATTTATCGATTGTAAACTTCGTGCACCCAACACATACAGCTGTGATCCTTTTGATATAACCGAATTGTAACATGCATATGTTCCGGCCAGAGCAAATGCCGGCGACACATTGCCACCGGTTGCAAAACCTTTGAAATGTGCCGAACCATAAACAAGTCCCGCATTTGCAATATCAATACATTCTGATTCTTTGGTCGTTCGAACATCCGTCAAATGAAGCATTTCATTTCGATCAACCGTTGCTATCGTCTTCGGTCCCATCCAATGAACAGCCAACAAGCTATAGCTCAAGCTGATGTGACGCAGGAACAACAACGATATTTTACCCGATTGAATGCAGATCTGGAAAATGGATAAAAAAAATAATGAATAGAATCGTGTTTTGGTCAAGGTGAACAACGCTCACTCTTTACCTGATGAAAATACACATTTGTACCGCGAGCTGCAGCCAAAACGGGATCAATGACACGCGTCGAATCAGCCGATTGAATCAATACCATTTGCCACGATATCAACGGTAAACTATCCGGAGGTCCTTGCAACGGATGGAATTTGATCACTTTCAACCGTGGCCGAATCATAACCACAAAAAATTTGGACAGAGTAGCCAGTGCAACGATACAATACGATTTCAGTGGATGATCTTCTTCGTCGATAATCAATGGCTCTATTGAACAAACCTATTGAGAAGGATGATACACTAAATAGATGAAGAGAATTGTTAAACAAAACTCGTTCGTACAAACCTCTCCTCTAGCTCCACTGAACAAACACTTTGAATCACAGCCACGTTTGCCAAGGCGTCGTGTGAAGCTGAGTGACCACACAGATCCACCGGTGTCCGAGCACAGTGCGAGTGTCGGTTTTCCAGTCCATTTTATATTGAGAACACCGCTATTCGGTGTTATGGCATCGGAAAGGACTCGTAACGAATCACCCGTTGACGTGTCAATCATCACAATGTAGCCTCTGGCAAATCCAGCCAGCAAACGAGTACTCTCTTCATTAAATGCGAGACTTGTAACAGCACCTTGCTGTAAATATTCCTGACAGCACCATCTCAGCGCTTGTAGTATATCGAATGCCATGATATGACCGTGTGATGTACCGACCGCAATCATATCCGATACAGCCACAGATGTTGCCAATCCTGAGTTAATTCTCTCCTGCAAAACCGATTCACAGTGATTTCGGATGGATTTTCAGCGATTTTATTGGTTTCTTACCGAAGCAGATGTTATCTGCGAAGTGACCCCTTGCAGTAGAACATGCCTAAGCATTGTTCCAGTTTTAGGTCGATCGTCAATTGATGGCGTTGGTGTGATACGAACACTTACATCGGAGATTATATCAGAATCGGTATCCAATTCACTTAAAATACTTTCCAATGATGGCATCATATCAACATGTGGAATGGAGTATTCAGCATCGTCAAGCTAGAAAAAAAACGCAGTACAAATGAGTGTAAACACAAAACGATTCGATGAAATCCAATCAAATCATATACCTCATCCAGGTCCAATTGCAACGATTCGGCCAGAAGACTGTCATTTGAGCCACGATCCGAGTCCAACAGCGATTGAAGTGACGGTGCTTTTAGTGTATTCATTTTTATTTTTGTGTCGTTTGATTGACACTTCCCCTCTGTTGCGCCTAATCAAATGGTACAATCTGAAACGGAAAAATCGCGCTTCCGAATCTCAAATCGTTTGGATATATCGACAGTTTAACTAGGGCAAACAATGAATATTCTATGCATCGGATACGGAATTTTCTTTTCTTTCAACAAAATAATTTGATTTTTTTATCCAAAACATTGCACATTACACACTATTTAATACACATTTTACAAGATATATAACTAATATATGAAAACAGCCCACTTTTTATTGCAATTGACATGAAATAGCATTATCAACAGCAAATGACAACTACATACAATACACACCGATGTAGAATCTGACGTGTGCACTTGTGTGTATATATCTGTGTCTGTGTTTTTTCGATAGGGACGTGCACATACTCAACGGGCCACTATGGGCTCGTACACGTCAAATCCACAAACATTGCACGCACACAAACACCCAACCGTCGTTTCGTCGAAATCGCATGTGGTTGTGCAGAGCTAATGAATTGTAGCTAGTTCAGTGTCAAGATCGATTGAAAAATGTAAATAGTGACTTAGGCAGAATCAAGCCGGATGGAAAAGGATTTTCCCTAATCAAAGTGCCTCCAGACGAAATTCACCGAGTTTATACAACAAAATGTCGAATACAAAACCGTGCATATTTTGCGATATTGTCGCTGGCAAAAGCCCCGATACTGTCATTGAATTTTCCAACGAACATATTATTATTTTCAACGATATTCGACCAGCTTCTGATTACCATTATTTGGCCGTTCCCAAAAATCACATGCAAAATGTGCGTGAATGCACTCTCGACGATAAGGATTTGAGTAAGTTGCAGTCGTTGCGAAAATGTGTGCGTGTTTAATTATGTGATTAACGTTTGGGTGTTCTAGTTATTGAAATGCAGAATGAGCTACGTAATCTTCTGAGTGTAAAAAATGTGAATCTTGACGATGTTTCGTATGGATTTCATTGGCCACCATTTACCAGCATTGATCATTTGCATATGCACGCGATTGCACCAGTTTCGAAAATGGGCTTCGTGCAACGACTCGTATTCAAGCCAATAAATATGTGGTATTGCACGGTAAGGATGGAATATTGATGAATTAAAGCGAAAAATTCCGATGTAATAAATGAATTGTGATGATTTTTTTCTCTCCTAAATTGCAGCCGGAATACGTGTTATCGAAACTGAAACCAGCCACTCATACATAGAATGTGTTCCAATAATCTTGATATTTTTTCTAGACTTTAGAACGGCTTTGTAGCTTGTTTTTTCTTAATGAAATTTCGCTTTAAAATTTATTTAAAATTGTTAATTAATCGTAGGGGAATAAAGAGATGGGCTTGACAAAAAATAACAAGTAATAAATTAAAACTAGAATCAAATAACCTGTCTCCATCTACATAGGTAGTTCTATCGTGCATGAAAATTTTAAAACTCGCAACTCTTCCAAAACAATACAATGTTTGACGTTGACAGATGTTCTCAATTCTCGCATACTCATATATAGAAACGAAAGTCAAACAGATAGAAGTGTGTTTATTGGTTTGTATATTCTGAACTAGTTGAAATCGGTTTTAAAGTTAAAAAAAATGGCAATCGATCTTCTTCTTTAAATGCTAGGTTGCATTGCATTTTCCACATTTTGTGCGTGTTTTTCACATTTCCGTGTGATTGCTGGTATTTTCTGACTCACAGAACAATATATCGTCTGTGTATATAGATCGTAGTGTCTTTGTGTGTGTGTGTGTGTGCGTCAAATTGTAAGGCATATACATGAACGCAATAATTGCATTATGTCATTTTTGCGAGGCGCATGGCCCGTGCCCGATTTTGTGTACACACACTTTGCGCGACACCAAAATCGATGAGTTGGTAAACAATGGTAGCGGCAATGAGAACGCTTGTCCGGGATGTAATTCAATCGGTAAAACAGTTGGCCTACTGAGCCAAGATTCGGAGAGTAATGCCAATTTTCTGAGCACACAAACAACCGTCATCAATGACATTTGGCCAATAGTCAAACAAGCAGCTGTTCGTAGCTTGAGCTGTGAGGTAACAAAAAACCATCATTCAAATGTCGCATTTGGTGTTGAACAATTTTGAATTTCAATTTTAGGTGAGCAGTAACAAAGATGGAAGTTTGGTATTCTTCGGTGATGCATCACGTGGCCATATACTTAGCTACACATTTCAAATACACGATTCGCAGGCACGGGGATTTTTCCGTCTATTCTCAATCATTGTTCTGATGAAAGATAAAATGTATCTGCTGAATGTGCAACCATTTTTGGCGGAAAATCTGCAGAAAATCTCCACAGAACTGCAAAGCTACTCGTCACAAATCCATTCGGCCGAACAGGCAAAATACTCGGAACGAGCTCAACGATTGAATTCGGGCCATGCAAGCACACAACCACCGCGATCACTCATCGAATTGACTGGCGAACCGAATATTTTCGCATATATTCATTCACATTTCGCGTGGATTTTATGGATGGGAGCACGTTGTCTCACTGAAAACATAAACATTGGCCTGCCGCTTTTGAACATCACCACAAACAGCAAACTCGATCCATTCTCTGTGATTCAATTGAAAGTCAAGGATTCGAACGCAACGAGAAAATTGTTTAACGACAATGACAATGAACATTTTGTACGAAAATCCCAAAGTATTTTGGGCGAATATTTTCCATCCGCCTGCTACTGTGCTCTTGTCGGAATACAGGTAACAACACAAATCAAAGCACGTTTTTTTTTCTTCAGAATTTTCGAATTTCCGAATAATATTTCATTTCAATTCAATTTTCTTCTAGATCGTTCTGAGAGGTCCACCATCGATAACAACCGAGTGTTTGAAATGTTTTGGAAAATTGTTACCTGAAACCATGCACCATCTCATTTGCATCGAATCCGATCAATACTTACCGTCAAGCCAATGCCGAATTTTATCAGTTTTACCTCATGTGGCTGTGCCTCAACCATCGGATAAAATATACCGCATCGATTTCACCGACGATTCAGATGAAGCACACATAAAATGGCCTGGAACATTACCCAATAAATGTAAATTACTCATATATTCCCCTTAGAAACATGGAAAGATATTAATTTCTCATTTTTCATAACAGATCCGGACCTCTTGACAAAAGTACTAAAATCCGTCGACGAGAAACTAATACCAGATCTAGTTCTAACTAAACAAATACGAGTTTTGGTCGAAGAATGGAAAAAGTAAGAACATTTTTTATTGAATTCAAACAAAAAAGTTTATCAAGCCATTTGTGTTTTTCCATTTGCAGCAAAGTGGCTTGTTTACAAACGATCTCATCGAATGCAGATTTGGTCAAAGTGAAAAAAGTAATGGGCGTTCAACCACAAGATCAAGCACTCATCAACTATTGGAGCAGTTCGTTTTTGAGCCGGTAGCAATGCGTGTTTTTTAGCTAGGAAATTGTATATTTGTATCAAATAAAAATTCCTACGAATTTGAAGAAAAAAAAAAACGTGTTTTATGCCAACTATTGATCAATGACGGAAAGTATTCTCAAGATTGGGTATTTTCCGACCCAAATAGTTGTTAAAGCTGTTAAAATCGATTAGATTGAGTCTTGAACCAATCCATGTTCTATTTCTCGACAACGTGGTCAATCAAAATGCGAATAAGGTATAGAGATTAAGATGGTGAGATGTCATCAAATTTGGATTGTATCCATATTTTCAGGCGGGAGCAAAAGCTACGGCTTTATTCTTTATTTAAATATAAAAACAAATGGGAAGAGCAGACAATAAATAAAAAGCATGTAGTTTTTTTTTAGTAGGGTTCCTTGCTTTTTATTGTATTTTACGTAACATTACATATAATAACGCACAGGATTGATGGATTTTTTCGCTTCATGTTTTTAATCGGAGCATTCGATGGAACCAAAACCACCCGTTTACTTCTTGTAACCGCAGCTCTTTCTGCGACCACGAGCACGTTCAAATTTGCGTCCCTTGGAGCGAACGTATGGTCTGGTGTGTGAGTGTGGAACACCAGGTGCTTTGCCGAAGTGCTTGTTGGCAACACGAGCGGTACGTTTACCTTGGAGCAACAATGTGCCTTTGCCGGTTGGTGAACGAACAGCCAATTGATCGAATGTGATGACTTCACCGCCAGCAGCCAAGATGCGGCCGCGTGCCTTTTCGGTAACACGAAGAGCGCACAATTTCAATTTTGGTACTTTCAACAGACGAATATCATCTGTGACGGTGCCAACAACAACGACGATCTTTTCTTGTTTGCCACTCTGTTTCAAGAAGCGGACAATCTTTTGCAACGAGATTGGTGGCTGGTTGATACGGCTCATAAACAAACGTTTCAAGATGATTTTGTTGAACTTCTTGTATGTACGTCTGTACAAGAAACGGTACAACTGCCGGAAAGAAAAAGAGAGAAAAACCAAGAATTTGTTACATTCATTCTGGTTCACATTCACTTTTGTAAAACAAAACAAAAAATATTCCGTTCGAGGGAGTATTGGTTTATATGATCTGGTTCACATGTGATGACATTTATATGCACCGCATTCCATTTTATTTGAAACTCAAGCAAGCACACTTTGTCACACGTTCATTGTTGTTGTTTGACATTTTAGTTTGGGATGCTTTCGATTTGCACAACTACTCATATCAGGGTATGTTTGGCATCAAATTTAGCATGTTGCGAGGAAAATATTCCAACGGAATTTATCGAGTAAGTATTTTTTTTGCACATTCTATTCGTTCACTTCATCAAATCACTTGTTGGCTACAATTCTTTTTTGCTTCGTCTACAATAATAATCATGCGTTTGAAAACATAACCAAACATTACAACAACATTATTTTATCACGTTGTAAATACTTGTACTCCTTGCTAAAAGGCGAACAACACTCATAGTAAGTTTTGCATTATTTATGTTCAGCCAATTGGATATATGAAAAGCCACTGAGAACAAGATCACATAAACCATATTCCCATCGAATCTTTTTTTTTCGTTAATTTTATGAGGAAATTGTGTATCACAAAAGATAACTTACCTTAACAAGAAGTCGCAAGTAAACATCTTGACTTTTTGGTTCCGTACGACGGACCTTACGGTCGTATTTATGACAAATGTCAATACCCTAAAATTAAAAAATAACACTTTTTAGATCATATTGAAACATTGATTAATGTAAATATGTAATAAAATTGGAAAAAAATCCGCCACAAAATCGGATGATTGAAAATGAAAAAAAAAATTCGGCCGGAGAATCGATACATCACTCACCATTATCAAAGGAGAAAAGACCGGACGTTTCTATTACGTTTGATGTTGATGAGAAAAAGAAAGAACGAACAAGTAACTTCATGTGAATTCTGTCGAAGCGCCAATGTGACCAACTTGTAAAAATGAAATTACGGCCAACGTGCACATGAGTACCGGTTTTTGACACTTGGGGTGCGTTTACATATTATCGTGTGAAACCGAATGGAATCAAGTTTATTTTTAAAATGTTGAATGAAAAGTGCATTGTTTCGAGTGTAAAAAAAAAAATTCGCAAACTTTTAATTTTTTTCAAATTGTAAAATAATTTTTTTAACTTCAAACCAACTATCCGGTTGAAGAGTTTTGCAGCGTTTCATTTTTTCACGAAACTGCTGTATCATTTTTGCCACTGTGGCGCTGGCGTTACGTTCAATTTCAGTGTTTTTACAGTGGTAATCGTGTTCGGACTTGCGAGACGATATCGTAGCTAATGTCATAGAAATTCTTTTTCGGCCTCTTTCTTTTTGTGCTCCAAGTGAATACAAGCAACATGGGTTTCGCTAACGTTTGGTACTCTCATCCACGAAAATACGGCCAAGGCTCACGATGCTGGTAAGAAAACCAATTCCAAATTAATTTCTACAACGTTTAGTGCACAAATTTCCCAATTTTATGATGTTTATTTGGATTTTTTGGTGATTTTCACACAATTCAAAATCTGTACACGTGCTCATAACCACACAAATTCAGTTCGCCATATTTACATGACTAATTGTATCATCGATGAACTATTGATGGACTGTATGAATTTTCAATTCAATTTTGTCATTTTCTTGATTATTTTTCAGCCGCGCCTGCTCAAACAGACACGGTTTGATCCGTAAATATGCATTGAACATCTGCCGTCAATGCTTCAGAGAATACGCCAACGACATTGGTTTCAAGAAGGTAAGCCTCACACACACTTAACACACATGCACCCCGTGTCAATGAACAGTTGCCATCGACCGAATGGAATGTGTCGATTACGATTCCCAGTAAACATCTAAACTCATGGTTTCCTTTCTCTCTCTCTCTCTCTCTTTTTGCTTACAGTTGGACTAAATGTATTCCTGTAATTCGTAAAAATTCACCATTGGAATTAATCTAAATGAGGGTCGATACCAACTTACCTCCAACAAGAACAACAACAACAACAACAACAAGTGTCGCTGAAATCAAGTTGTACACTATTCCCATTGAGCAACCAACCAAAACCAATGTATTGACAGTTATTTAGATTAATTGCAAATAAAACAATTTTTGCAACAACATCAACAGAAAAAAAAAGACAAATGTGTTTTGTTATTTTCTATCAACAACAAAAATTTCTTTTCGTTTTTCTTTATTGCGATGAACATGAACAATATTTTATTTTCTGGATAATGAAAAAGAAGAACAACCAGTTTTTGTTTTTAACTCGTGAATGTTTCATGTACAAAAATACTTCGTTTATTGATTGATATTTTGCAGCGGAAAAAATAGAGACTTATAAAACATAATTGTTTTATTATCTAGTATTGCGATCTAAGGTTGGTACCATCCTTTGAAACGATTGACAGCCCTTTCCCAATTTTTCATTTTGTTCATACTTCGTTCGTACACACTTTCGTTTGGCACGAACACACGCTCCACTTTGCGTAATTTCACGAGTTCATCTCGTGTATTCCAAATACCCACCCGAAGACCAGCCAAAAACCCAGCACCCAATGCACTTAACTCCGAATCAAAAGCACGCTCAACTTTGAGCTTCGTCAAATCGGCCAGCAACTGACATATAAAATCATTCTTGGAAACGCCGCCATCGACACTAAAACACAGAAGGAAAAAATGAAAATAACAAATTCATTGTGAAACACATAAAAATTTGATCGATTAAAAAGAGATGATACTCCGAAAAATGTAGAAATAAGACGTTAAAAAAAGAGAGAGAGAAAAAATCGCTTACCGAATAACAGAAAACTTGAAATTGGTCTCGGTTTGTGTGCATGTGTACAGTTGAGTCAACCGAAATGCGATGCTTTCAAGGATTGCACGAACGATATGCGCATTTTTTGTTGACGGTCGAATCCCTATCAAACCAGATGCAGCTTGATGATCATTTATTGGCGCCTATCAATTTAAAACACATGCAATACATTAATTTTAGGGCCTATAACAATTACAAAGTGTCGTAAAATTTCTCTACATCTGTTTAACATAGTCGAAGTATTGCTATTTTATCGCTTGAGCCGTCGACATTGTTTTCATTATGAATATCAATTAAAAGTTTCGGTTTTGAATTTGGTCTTTCAAAGTCGTAATATGTTGGAAAAAAAAACGTGAGAAAAATGGTATTAATTACGATTTGCAAGTAAATCTGATTGTTTTGCAAAGGAACTGATCTCCAATTTTTTTCTTTTGACAAAACTTCCAAATAGAATGTGAATTGAAAATGGCTCTTAAGTAAAACTTACGCCCAAGCCACTAAATGCAGGTACAAAGTAAACATCTTCTGTATCATCAACGGAGTTTGCAATATCAGCGGATTTGGATGGGTCTTGGAATAAGCCGAAATTCATGGCCCATTGTATGATTGAGCCGGTGTCATTAGCCGCACCTTCCATGCAATATACCAGTTCGGTATTCTTTTTGTCAGCGTATCGCCACGCAACCAGTGGATATAACCCATAAATTGAAGCCGGACACTGTGATCCAGTGTTGAGATTCAAAAATGAACCTGTGCCCAGGGTTATTTTTATATCGCCTGTATTAAAACAACACGATCCCCACATCGATGCCGATTGATCACCCAACTAGATATGGACAAATGGGACATTTTCAACTGTTGTCTTATTTCAAAAATAGTTGATTTTAATCAAAAACGCAATTTCAAATTAAAAAAGAGTAAAATCCTCACCGATGATCCGATTGGAATCTCATGACCCAGCAAACTTCTGTGTATGTGCCCGAAATTATACGAATTATCTACAACGGTTGGCAACATATTGGCCTGTATAAAGTGAGAGAGAGAGAGACAGAGAGAGAAGGTAATGAACATTCTATTAATTACTCCAATGACGAAAGAAGAAAATTACATCCGCCATTCGGTGGAAATGCGAATTTAATCGCTTACCTTAATTGAAAATAAATTTAACGCCCATTTGGCCCATTGTAATGTGAATGGATCATAGAATCCGGTAGCTGAGCAACTTGTCACGTCACTGATATGTTCTGGCTTAAAATCTAAATCGTTTCCCTGTCGCAATCGGTACAACAGCCACGAGTCTAACGTACCGAAAAGGGCATTTTTGTGTTCGATTGCCGCTTGCAATTTTTTATTGTTTTGAATCATCCACGACAGCCGAAGCGTGGTCTGGGCGAGAAAAAAAAAGAGCAGAAGAAACCAATTGAATTAAATTTTAAAGAGTAAATATTCAAATTAGATCTGATTTCATTGTAATGAATAGAATCTACCGATTGCATCGGAGTGCAATTTTACCTGAGCATTCATAAGCTTTAGCACACTTCCCGCCAGAAAGCGTTTGTTCCTCGTAAACATGTACAAGAAATGTGATACGCCGTGCATTAGCTATAAAATTACACAAAACGAGTTAATTAAAACCATTATTCGGCCTGCTCAATAAGGCAGCCGCAATAAATGTTAATCATTTTGATTTACCTTAAGTGTTACACTGTCATTCCATTTTCGGACCATTGAATCGGCTCGCAAATCTTTCCACGTAATAAAATTGTGGAATGTTTCACCCGTTGTACGATCCCATGTGATGAATGTACTCCGTTGTGTGGATATGCCGAGGCATGATATGTCGATTGCATTGAGTTGAGCATCACTGATTGCATTTTGAATGGTTTTCAAAATCTTTTGCCACAATTCATCTGGATTGATTTCAACGTATCCCGGTTGTGGATACAGCAATTCAATCTGAAATTTGCGAAAGAGGAAAAAAACAAACGACATTGTTTCCGGTTAAAATCCATTCAATTCCAAGAATGTTGAGATTTTGTATAATTACGTTTGCACATGCTTTGCCCACAATATTAACGTTGATATCATAGATGAAGCATCTAATACTGGTGGTGCCAATATCCAACGACGCTATATATTTTTTATCATGACTTTTTTCGCTCATTTTGGACTTTTAACTTATAACTCCATAACAATAATAACAGGAAGGAAAAAAAATGAATCTCCGATCTGCGTTTCGGGCCAGGGGAAAAACAAGAATTTAACGAACGTGGAAATAATAATAACAATAACGAGAAGAAACACGCGATGACGATGCTGCTTATGTCGACGACTTAATGCTGACTAGCACAACCTGTGAATAGAGATTTTATGGAGAGAAGAAGAAGAATAGAGAAATAAAAAAAAGTGTCGCGTTTAGTAAAAATCCATTTTCATTCAAGCACAACTATCATTAACACACATGTATTCAAAAACCGAGAGACAGACACAAGGCAAGATTTGATATGTTTCGATTCACTGGTTCCACCACCAGTTTAGAAACGGACAGGTTTTTGTTTTGTTTTCTGAAAGTTTATTTTCTGTGTTTTTCGAAGCACTTCGATTTTATATTAATCATACGAAAAAAACAAACCCCACCAACAACAACAAATTTTCTATACGCAAAGAGCTTGAACTGGTTAGCGATACGCTGTAATAAACACAGAATTATTATTATGGTGATTGGAGTGAACAAGCGGCCCGAAGAGTAACAGTACGGTGATTTGATGTTGCGTTTTTCATAGTGCGAAAATAGCCAAAATGATTTCTCAACAGTCACGAAACGTTGAAAAATAAATGATTTGAAAATTGAATAATCGCGCATTGCAAGCCATTACATAAAAAAAGAGCGTTGCATTCGAAAGGCGAAAACAAGTTCGCGCGCTCGCGCTCACACGGCAGCTCACTCTCTCTCTCTCTCTCTCTCTCTCTCTGTCGACACTCTGATAAAAAAAAAAACAACAATCACTCAAATTGGATATCGAACGAAAGCTTTCCGATTACATGGTATAATCACACACACAGCGAGTGACGACAGATCAAAAAGTCAGCAACTGATGGAGATCAATGATGCGAACACGGAAGTGTCGAAGAACGCGCGAATAATAATTTAAAGAAAATTGGAATATCATCGGGTCGGGTCACAGTGTTTAGCATTTCGATGGTTTGATTTTATTTTTTCTGCCTCTCTATTTATCGTCATGTCATGCACACGCGGTATATTAATTTAATGCCTTTTGATTTGAATGACATTTTTTTAAATGGCGGCAAATGCAATCCATCGAATGAAACAAGCATATTTTCCGTTTAATGTAAATAAACTGCGAAATCAGAAAACACACGATTAGTTATGGCAAAATACGGTAACAATGCACTTAACAATACACTGCTCTGTGTTGATAAGACATTTACTTATTGTAAATTCGTGCTCCAAAATTGTATGTGCGTGTGTGTGATTTATTTTTTTCTTTATCAGGGTAATCAGGTTCAACAGAAATGCAACGATGATTCGCACTATTTCTCAATAAGTCAATTATTCAACACAACAATAACAACAACAATGGAATACATTGATCGTAAATCAATTCGCGAAACCATTATTCTTCAGGCCAATAACACGTACTAATTTCTTTTGCAAACAGAACTGACCACACAAATTGCACAAAATCTTCTGGCTCATTTGACTAAGCATACAACAGTTTTATGTTTTCAATTCACGTTTCTTTCTCAATTGTCTTGTTTTTTTTTGCTTCGTTTTGTTGTTGCCACCAATTTTGGTTTATTTATTTTTCTTCGTCGTCATTACAAAACTGTTTTTTTTTTGTTGGTTTTTAACATTCTTTTTGATAGTTGTTTTTCTTTGTCTTTTTTTGTTAATTATTGTGATACATGACAAACCGCTTTCGAAGTGGCAATGACCGTTGTCAGAAATAAATCGAACCGTAATTATAGATAAGAACATTTGAGTGCCATTTAATACGCATGAAACACCATCGTACGATGTTTCGGATCATGGGGTTGGTTGTATATTGCGGTCAATGAAACAAATGAAAAATTAATTCGAAAACTTGTTTTCTTTTCGCGTTGGTTCTATCAAACATTTTTTATGGCACTAAACTTTAATTGAAATGAATACAATGTAGTTCATTCTCTTTTTTTTCGGTTCAAATAAAAATCAGATTACTGTTTCAAACATTTTTTTCTTCTTATAAATCATCTTGTTACCGCATGATAAAAATCAAGCGTGGAATACAATGTAAACAGCGATAAAATGAGAGAAGAAATAAATATTTACGGTTAGAATTTTTTTTTCGGTCAGATACTGAATTTCACACCTTTTTGACTAACTTTTCATTTCTATGACATATTTCAATTCGAATGTCGTTCACAAGTGTTCGGAGGCGGCCAGTAATTTCTTTTTTATCCTGACTTTGTTCTTTCGATATTTACGTGGTGTTTTTTTTTCTTTTATATTTGTATCGATATTCTGCTAAATGCCGTGTAAGGTTTCCTTAACAGCATTCTCAAGTGATATTTTTGTTCGATTGCGGTAAGTTGTCAATTACCATGCGACCGTTCATTCACTAATAGTCGTATGTCGTAGGTCGTAAGTAAAATGTATGTGTCGCTCTCTCGCTTACACAATACCGAATACTCTTCTTCTTCATTGACGACGATCCACGCGTATCATACAACGTACACACCAGTGTACACGCATCGAACGATGTGAATCGAATGCGAAGGAATGTACGGTGCACACAACGATACATATACACACATACAATTATAACCTCTGTGGCTATCTTGTCCAGAGAAAAAGAGAGCGCATCGTACGATGACGTTTTCTATTTATGCATGTATGCGTTGTCGTTTGCTTGCGTAGCATGCTCGTTTGGCTCGCTCGGACCACATTGCATTTGTGTGCATGCGTGTGTGTATGTGCATATGTGTATGCGTGCGCTTGCTACTATGCTTGAACCACTGACGCATTGGTATTTTGTCGATTTTGAATTTGTCTCTGTGTTTAACGTTCTCATTTTCAAAACCGGTAACGTAAACTGTTTCGCTATTCTGTCTTCGTCTTGTTTTTCTTTTGTGGCGTCATCAAGTTTTTGTGAGAGTGAACATTTCAAAGGCGAATGTCAAAAAGAATACTTTTCAATCAACTTGGATTTTTTTTTTGTTTACATGTCAAATTTTGTGTGCGAAAAACTAAAAATAAATTGAATAAATACGGACATTTCAAATAACAATTTCGATAATATCGTGAAATGAAGGAAATACTTTTGGAAAAATGAAACAATTACTTGAAAAAAATTCATTCGACGATCGATAAAATTTGAACAACCGAATACCAAAACAACCATTCAACATGTCACAAATTAGTTTAACAATTGGAGAAAAGATCGAGGTAATGAAAAGAAACCAAGTGATTAATTTTTTTTTTGGTTCAATTTTATGTGTTGTGTGAAAGTGTGGTTTTAATTGTGTTTTATCTTGTTTTCATTCGTTTTTTGTTGTTGGTCAATTTACAGGATTATGAGATTCTCGATCTTCTGGGGAAAGGTGGTTTTGCTTGCGTCTACCGAGCAAAATGCTTGAAATCAGGTTTCGAAGTGGCATTAAAAATGGTTAGTTTTGTCATTATCTCTAAATTAAACAAGTCCTAATGCTAAAAAAAAAAAACTTTCGCTCCATAAAGATCGACAAGAAAATGATGCAAAGTTCGGGTATGGTGGGTAGAGTGAAACAAGAAGTGGCCATACATTCGAAACTTAAACATCCATCAATTTTGGAATTGTATACGTTTTTTGAGGACATTAACTATGTGTATCTAGTGTTGGAATTGGCGCAAAATGGTGAATTACATCGATATTTAAAAGAGAGCCAGAGAGTGAGTTTGTTTTTTCCTTGTAAATCGCAATATGTATAGCAAATGTGTCATTGACATAAATAATTCACTCACATTCACGTTTACAACCACGTTTAGGTGCTGACGGAATCGGAGACAGCGAATGTTTTGATGCAAGTTGTGAATGGCCTACTTTATTTGAAAGTAAATAACATCCTTCATCGTGACATGTCCCTTTCGAATCTGCTGTTGACGAATGATCTCAAAGTGAAAATTGCCGATTTCGGTTTGGCCACACAGCTGTCGCGGCCCGATGAGAAGCATAACACACTGTGTGGCACACCTAATTACATATCACCGGAAGTGGCGTCTCGGGCAACACATGGATTACCGGTTGATGTTTGGGGTGTAGGATGCATGATGTACACACTGCTTGTGGGCAAGCCACCATTTGATACGGATGGTGTAAAATCAACCTTGACAAGGGTTGTGATGGCCGATTTCGTTGTTCCAAACTATTTGTCCATCGAAGTGAAAGATTTGCTTGATCGCATGCTGCGAAAAAATCCCACTGAACGCATCCAAATCGAAGACGTACTCACGCATCCCTTTATGTTGAAACACCTAGGTGCGTCGCATCAAAACTTTTCAAATACGGTCGCATCGGTTGACAGTGGATTGCATACGATGTCAAGTGGGATGACATCGGCGCAAAATTTCACGGGTAAAATGGATCAAATGCGACAACGTTCCGATGAACAATGCTACTATCAACAGAAAACGGCGCCAGTTAAGGCGACAAATTTGTTTGACAAAATGGGTCACAGTGCATCATCGCTGTACAATCGTTACGATTCACAGTACAATGATTACGCGCATCAGCCGCTTCAATCGCAATCCAATGAGCTCGTCGATCGAATCGGAAATATGGGATTGATGCAACCGCAGGTGGATAAACAAATGTTTGGTGGCTATTCAGCAAAGCCAACGTTTGGCGTTCGCCATACATCAAGTGACATGCTCACAAATCACACGCCGATGCCATTGCAGGAAAATCGGTTCTATGGCATGCAAACGAATATGGGCCATCAGCCAAATTTGGCCGCTCCAACTCAAGTGAACAATGTAAATTTCCAACCGGTACTCACGAAACAACAACCGCCACCGAAACCGAAGCCCAACCCAAAATTGTGTGTTCCGCCGCTAAATTCAGAGCGTTTACTGCCGACGAGATTCAAAACAAAAGCGTGCATCTTGAGTATATTGTTCCTCGGCGAGGTTGTTGTCGAATTGGTCAAGTCCAAATACAATGAAGATCGTGTGGTAGATGTTTGTCGCATATCAAAAGATGGCCTACGCATTGTTGTTTATCAACCAGACGCTGGACGGTAAGTACAACCTAATGATCAATTCCCGGAACAAAAAACGATCAAGTTGTCTAAACTCATACTAATTTTGGGTTTTTGTTTCATTTGCAGTGGTGTGAAAATCCAAGATACTCCACCGGATTTACCGGAATCGGGTGCCGATTCAATCTATAGTTACGAAAACCTACCGTCTAAGCATCAAAAGAAATACGTGTACGCATCGCGGTTCATCCAATTGGTACGAGCAAAAACACCGAAAATCACCTACTATTCGCACAAGGGCAAATGTGACCTGATGGAAAATTTGGAGAATTTTGAACTATCATTTTATGATGGTGACAAAATTGTACGAACGTCCGACGATAATGTAACCATTTACGATTGCGATGGAAATACGTTGGCGTTGAACAATGAAAACGATTCGATACGAGCACTTTGGCTGCATTATCAAGAGTGTTTTGAGCACTGTAAAACACTTGAACGAACGCTGAGCAGTATAAACAGTGAAAGTGAATGCTTTCCAATAATTGTCGGCCGACGGCCCACCTCGGCGCCAGTGTTGGGTGTTTCAAAGTGTAATAGCAATAATTTCCTGAGTCCACGTCTTGGAGGTGTAAGTACCAAAATGGAATTAACAAAAACAAAAGGTCCAAACTAATGCGATTATCTCGTACATTTCTTTGCAGGCATCTTCGCTCATGTCACTGAACAGTGTTGCATCAATGAAAACATCGCAAAACAAAACATCGCCAATGTTCAATACGTCTTTGGAAAGGGTGATAGTGCCGGGCATTGGGATCGCAACGCAATCGCCTGATGGTGTAGTGGAGGTGACCTACAAAGACAGCACTCGATTGACTTTTAGGCAAGCGGATCCAGGCGCCGGCGGTATAATGTACACACTAGCAAATGGCAGATCGTGTGAATACACGGGAAGAGATGAAGTACCCGAAGTAGTTCGCAGTAAATTGACACATATGCCAATCGTAATCAAACACTTGGCAGCCCACAACAATGGTCCGACGATGCCACTATGCACGCCGGTCAGCAATAAATGCATGCAGCAACCAATGAAATTCTTTCGATAGGACTTTTTCTTGTTCGAATCAAAGCTCAGATTATATTTAATTATTATCATATTGAAATGAAGAAGAAGAAGAAAAAAAAACGGATAGCAGCGCTGAGCTTGCCATACTTCAACCAGTGATTCCATTGTTTTAACAAACGCACACATTCTGCATTTAAATCACATATTTATAGATCTTATTTTTTGTATTGATTGTAGAAGATTAAGTCGGTTTAAGAAAGTTTTGTTATATTTTTTTTAGTAAACTTTTTTTTAAATAGAAAATTAACATTGTAGACTGATGCATCAAACAAAATGGAAAAAAAAACAAACAACAATCGTACAAAAAATATAACAAATGAGACAATTGCAAGCGATGCTCAGTTTTTATTCCGTGAATGGTTCATGCGAAAGGTGATGCAATGCAAATCCAAGAATGCAATTAAATCTCGATTATCGAATGTCATGTCAATGGTTTTGAAGAATTTTTTCAGTTCAACCAGATTGATGGGCTCGTACAGGAGGACCGCTTTACGTAAATCAGTGTTTGCTTTGATCAAATTATGCCAGGCAATGTGAAGAGGTTCCAAGCACCAGGGTTTCTATCGAATTGAGAAATTTGAATAAAAAAAAAAAAAAAAAATCTTGATAAAAAGTGTGCAGAACACAAGAAATTAAAAAAAAAACACTCACTTTAGCTCTTAAAGCGGATGGTAGGAATATCTTGTTGACTTCTTGTTTTTTGAATTTCTCATCGACTAAATTGTTTGCGGCAAAGCCGATGTTAAAGTTGATCTTTGGACCACTATCTTCATCATCGTCGTTTGGAATATCTTTGCAATTTTCGGATTCTTTGATTTTATTCGCCTTCAGTGGGCTTTCCGCTTCATTAACACTATCGCTCATATACGGATGTGTTCGATTGTAAATGTACTCCAAACAAATGATGGCCTGTCGCCGGCGTAATGAAGGCTTCAATCCAAATTTTTTCAATTCCATCTCGAGTGTTGATGCGTCCATTTCTTCATAGTTTGGTTTCGGTGACACGGAACCAAGTTGAATGTAGTATTCTTCGTTCGATAAATCCATCCGAGTTTCTACTGTTGGCTGAGAAAATGGAGAACTGTTCGGCTTTTGCGGTGATTCCAAATTTACCGTCTTCTTATCTGGTGTTAGTTTTATTCTTTTCACATTTGACGTTGACGGTGAAGTTGAAGTTGAAGTTGAGGGTATCGCATTTCCGTATCGAGAACCGAGCACTGTTTCTGAATTGACCTTTTTCAGCGATTTTGCACCAATTGTCTTCGTTTTTGCTGCTGTGGATATCGGCGATGGGCAATGATCGAATGTCTTCTCCAAAATATTACATACACTTTGATTCATTAGTTTCTCGTCCGTTTCCTGGTTAGAATTGCCATCGATGAGATTGAAATCGATGGGACTTGGTATATAGTAATCGTAATGACAATTATCATCATCCATGTTGATATCATCATCTTCCATCGTATGCACAGCACCCTTTTTACTTTTCAAAATGGAGTAGTTGATTTCATCATCGGACAGTACGATCGATTCTTGTGATTGATTCATTTGGCTTTGACTTTGATTGTAACACTCTTCAGGAAGATCATCGGTGAATCCATTTAACATATCTCTTTCATACAGTTCTAAGCGCTCTGTGAACGACAATTTCTTAGTCAAACCGGTACTTTCATTCGATTTATGCGACACATTTCCGCTTTCGTTCAAATGTTCATCATTGCTTTCGGCCACATTTTCATTAACGTTTTCGTTTACGATTTCCAACGGTTGTAGAAACTCCTCATTCTCGTATTCGTAGTTACAAAAGTCATAATGATTTGATTCCACCATTGTTGCGTCTTCATTGACTGAAATTCAATGAAAAAGTGTAAGTGATATTCAGAATTTAGATTAATCTTCAACTTGAACATGATGAAATTTTGAGGAAATAACAAAAGCTACCGTCAACTGGTGAGTCAACACGATCTTTGAGCGTGTTTTCTGAGTCAGAATCAAGTAGATCAATCGTTTCCACAACTGGAATGTCATTGTTTATGGTTTCTTCGGAATCGATAATCAGTGGTTGGCTTTGAGTACTTTTGCTCGAATCTGGAACTGTTCAAATATTTCGCTTATTTTAATTTCAAACTTCAGTGAATTGTTTTTAATATTGTGTATTAATCAATGGCTGGACCATAGATTAAAATTTGATGCTATCAATTATTAGTTTCAATTTCGTTTATTCTCCCTTGATTTCTTAATAAAATGAAAAGAACTGGTTCCTACCTTGATTTGAATTTCCTTCACTTGAACTAATCTCAATAGCCCCCGATGAGGCAGTTTCAACAGTCTCTTCATCGGTCGGTATATTCGGTGTATTTCTTTCATTGCCTTCTATTTTTTGATCCTCTTCTAAAAAGAAACGTCAATGACTGATTTTCAATTAAAATGTTCGAGTATTGAGTCAATAATTAGACGATAATTTCATAAAATGAGTCGATAAATGAACCAAAAAATCTCCAAAAGGAAATGTATGAGTAAATTCTTACGTATTTCATCGGTCATTTCATAATCATCGTCGTCATCGAAAAGGTCAGGTGAAGGTGCTCGGACTTTATGAGAGATGGTATCGTAGGTGACAACCGTTGGTTGGAATATATCAGAAAAGTTCTGGCTCAATCGAATTTTAGTATTAATGGCATCAACTTTTAGTTGAATATCATCTGAGTCAATCACAACTGTTGCGTCTGCATCGTCGTCTGAACCCACAGCTTCATTTTGATTTGGTTCCGGTTCTTGAACTTGATCGATAAACAGTAATTCAGCAGCATTATATTCTGTGACTTGATTCGAATTTTCGATTTTATGCTGATCCGTCTCTTGTTCCATGTCTTGGATCTCCATTGGCGCATCTAAATACTGTTGTTGCGTTTCAGGCGCTTCTTTTTCATAGGCTTTAGCGTCATCAGCGGATTCATGTTCATTCTTATCAACACAACCACCAGAAGATTGAGGTTGTGATGAAATCACAGTTGTGTCAGTCTTATCAATTTCATTTGCTACGCCATCGTAAACGGAGTCTCGGCCTGGGATTTTCGACCAATCTCTTAGCAAAACGCCTGCATCCAGTTCAGAGCGTTCCACCAAGTTGTTTGTGTAGTATGACAAAATGTTGCTCTTCGTATGCATCTCACAGCCATTGACTTCGAAGAGAATTCGTTCTGACACACAAATCCGTTGCAAGCGTTTGCTGTAGATTTCATAGGGAACATAATCGGGCAAGGTAAAATAAATTGGTGACTTTGATCGCTCCGATTGGCTCGATTCAACGATTATGTTGTTCACCAATAGCTCGTCGACTTTTTCACGGATTTTACTTTTTTGCGCCTCATCTTTTCGTCGCGTTAGCTGTGTACACTTGGAATTCCACTTGAAGCGGGCGTTTGTCTTTTTTGGCATGTTGAAAAATTCATAGAAATTTTCATTCAGCTTAGCATTTGTCGGCTTAAACTCGAATTCATCGAAGTTGATCGGTTGATCAGGTACTTCGGCGGCAGCTTTTGACATTGCCAATGCCAATTGCAACTGAGCCTCTTCGGGTAAGTGACTATAATTCTCTGATGCAGCATCTCGTTTCTTCAATACCTTTCGGATGTCGGGCTGTTTTCGACGAGTTCGTGAACTTTTTGTTGTTTTTGATGGTATCGGTTTGGTGGGTGGCCGTTTGGCAACTTTTGTTGGTATCTCAAAATCGGCCATGCTGTCATTGTTATCGTTTGAAAAGAATGACTTGATTGTTGATGTTGACTTTGAATCACTTGCCTTATCATTCCGCTGCACATTTTTGGTCTTTTTTCTCTCCGACGGCTTCTTTGTTACATCTATGTTTGGCTTGTCATCAGTTATGTCATTGTTTCGTTTCACACTTTCCATTTCCAACGAAGGTTTATCACAGCTATTTGAGGTGCTTTGTGAACATTTATCGATATCAACATCTCCTACGGGAGCGAGATTTTCCGTTTTAGGCACACCATCACTTGCATTTGAATGAGAAAAAAATCGCGATATTTGTGAATTCGGCAATTGTGTTTCGTTTCTGCGAAGAAAAAACAAAAGAAACCATTGAAAAAATGAATTGGTACAAAAACAAAAACTCCATAAAACTCATCAAAATCGATCGACAGATTCGTCTTAAAACTGTGCATAAAATGCCATTTTATTGATATATAAATTTTATAAATAAATTGCTAACAGTTTTTTTTTTGCTTTTCGCCTACATTTGACTCTATACGAAATTCTATTGTACCAAAAGAAGAAGAAGACATCTGTCATTACCGATGTGTGGCGGCATTTCGGGTTTGAGATAGACACAACCGTGAAAACTTCAACCGATTCGGTTTAGTTTTCGTTTCGTCTTTGTTGTCCATGTTTTCGTGCATCTATTAATAATCTTTCGTTTGGAAATGACGACAAATCATCGATTTGTTGTCTTAAAGTTCCGTTTCGTATTTCTTCTTGTGCCGCAAAATTTGACGAATTTCACTGGCCGATTTTTGACCAACCATTTGGTTTTTCAGCATAAAAGCGTGTTCCTCCCGTTCTTTTTGTTCTCGATCGAATTCTTCGGCGGGAAAATATTTGTCCATAAACCGTTTGGTGTTTGGCAATTGACTAGAATACGAGGGGGAAAAATTGATAGATTCAATTGGATTTGCGGTAGAAATAAAATTGAAGTTTGATACTCACTAAAAGAAATACCCAATACCAAATGCGACTGTTATTCCGATTGTGCTGTACAAATTGATGAGTCTGAGTGCAGGAGTTCCTCTCAAGCGTCGTGGTTTTCGGTCACTGGTATCAATTCCACCAGCCATATCCTCTATCCTTACGATTCGCCGCCTCCTAATATCGCAATAAACGTAAACACAATGCGGTCTTCCCAAATCCAAACACTTTGCATTCAAGCAATAACACGACTTGAAGGTTATGTTTTGAAATGGCGCTAAATGTCATGTATTCAAAGTGTCAACATTAAGAATGAACTCAACACAAGTGGTATAATACATTTGAATTGGTGTGGAAGTGAACGTTGATTTAGACTTTGGAAATTTTTCACTTAAATTTTTTTCCGATCTTCAAATGTCATTTTATGCTTTGCAATATTCGGACGTTTCAGACAATGTTCCGTTCAATCTATTGAACTCGATGCAATGTATACTTTTGTTAAATGCTGAATTAGGTTAATATAGAGACATGCAGAAGAAAGCCAATTGGATTAAGAACGGAGTTCTTCTTTGAAATTCCGAAGCATATTGGCAATGGCAAAATTGCATGTTTGCCCTTCATTTATTTTTCGAATAAAAAGCAGGTAACTGTTAACCGCTTCTTCAAATGGATAAAGATGGCAGTCGATGTGCTTCTTTGTTTGGCCCATTATGAATATACAAGTGCATGTCTGATGTCTCATGCTTGTTGTGTGTATTCCCACTTCAGCGCATACATGCAAAACAGCATAAATGTCAGAGCGAGTATTTGTTTTTATATAAACGAAACGATGGTGAAATCGTGACATTCATTTTTGGTGAGTAAAACGTTCTCAATCTCAACAACATGATTCATATAAAATTTATAGCAAACAGTCCAAAACAATAATGTGATTATGAATAAACTGCAGTAAATATTTTACGGAATTTCAATTTGGATGTTTTTGTTCCATTTGGCAGCAATTCAAAAAAGTTTTCGTATGTTCTAAGCGGGAATTTCGACAGAGTGTGCAAAATCGCCGGTTGACAGAAACAACAGAGACGATCAGTAGAAGAGAGTTGTGAGAAATCAAAAGTGTCAATTACGAAATATCCATTTCACTGTGAGTGAGAATTGATTTGGAGCGGCATTTTGTGCGCCAGCAAAAGTAAAAATCCAATTCATTTATTTCTTTTAATTTCCCATAGAATTGTTCAACATTGACAAAAGCGCGAGTAATTTCTGAGCTGTATCGTAAATCATCCCGAAACACAGTCAACATATTCAATTTTCCAATTGCTGAGAGCTGAGATTAGGTTCGGGTGATTTTCATTTTAAAACAAATTTCATAGTCATGCAGAATGCTTTCAATTTGACAGTGGTGAAAATGTGCATGGAGATCGGCTCACATTGTGTGTGTTATTTGTGTGTTGTGTTGTTTTTTTTATTGTTATTGTTGTTGTTGTTTTCGGATTTAGTGTTGTCCGATGTGGTTTACGCTGAATCGAAAAGCGCGCACCAATACAAGGCCACAGTGTAGCACATAGACACATACACACGCACCGAACCCTTATTCCGTATTAGTTGACCGTCGCGAGGTGAGGTGAGAGTGCGAAAAAAAAACATTGGCATTGTCAGTCATTTTCCTTTTTTCTCGTATGGTCGCTACTGAAGCTGCTTTCAATCAAATTTTTTTTCTCATCGTCAAAGAGCAGCAAAGTTTTGAAACAAAAATACACACCAAACCAAAACACACACAAATTATCGCAACGACAGTAATTGAAAAGAAACCAATTTCCAATTGAATTTTAATAATATTTCGCACAAACCGATTCACAGAGAACGAGAGGAAGAAAAAATAAAACACAGAGAAAATGACGTGGGAACCGCAACCAGAAGGTTTGCAACAGATTATAACAATATTGAAGGAATCGCAATCGCCAGACACTGCTACGCAGCGAGCCGTTCAATTGGTAAGTTTTGCAATTTGTTGCCGTTCAAAAATGCCAAAGTTTGGTGATTCATTCAGGAAAAGTTTCATTGTGTGAATCAAATGAAATTCATGGGTATAATAATTGATGGTGATAGAAAATGGTATGGATGGATGGACGGACGGCAGATTGACATTTTATGTGGAATTTATTGTTTGCGTCGTGCATTGATACAGAAAGTCTTGTGTTTGGTTTTATCGATTAAGCAAGATGTGATTTAATAGTTTTTCTTCTTCTCGGTGGTGATGGTTCATTGTTTGTTTGTTTTTCTCTTCTTTTTCTCTGTTTTGTTCTGTGTGTTGCGCGACAATTCCATCCGGTTTTATTTGTAGAAATTGGAAGAGCTGAATCGATATCCGGATTTTAATAACTATCTCATTTATGTGCTGGTGCGATTGAAATCAGAAGATGAACCCACACGATCGCTAAGTGGGTTGATACTGAAAAACAATATTCGACTGCATGGCAGCACATTGCAACCGGAGATTGTTGAGTATATTAAGCAGGAATGTTTGATGGCAGTTGGCGATCCGTCGCCATTGATTCGGGCCACCGTCGGTATTCTAATCACAACGATTGCCAGCAAAGGTGGTCTCAACAGTTGGCCACAATTGCTGCCGTCACTGTGCGAAATGCTCGACTCACAAGACTACAATGTGTGCGAAGGTGCTTTTGGTGCGCTGCAAAAAATCTGCGAAGATTCCACCGAGGCATTGGACAGCGAAGCACTCAATAGACCATTGAATATCATGATACCAAAATTTCTACAATTTTTCAAACACTCCAGCCCAAAAATTCGATCACATGCTATCGCCTGCATCAATCAGTTCATCATAAATCGAACGGCCGTTCTAATGCTGCACATAGACACATTCATCGAGAATCTGTTCCAATTGTCAACAGACGAGGATCATGAGGTGCGGAAAAATGTGTGTCGTGGTTTTGTGATGCTGCTAGAAGTACGAATGGATTGTCTATTGCCAATTATGAACCAGATCATTGAGGTAAGTTAATTGCGCCACCATGCTCAGAATGAGAGCTCAAAATCAATTTTGAATGGTTTTGTGTGTTTGGTCGATTTCAATTAAGTGCAATTTCATCTTACTTTTTTTCGCAGTATATGCTTTTGCGAACGCAAGACCAAGACGAAAGCGTTGCATTGGAAGCATCAGAGTTCTGGTTAACCTTAGCAGATCAATCAATTTGCAAAGAAGTATTGGCCCCGCATCTAGCCAAATTGGCGCCAATTTTGGTGAACGGAATGCGGTACTCAGAAATCGACATCATTCTACTGAAGGTAAATTGGTTCAATTCATTTGAATTCACGTCTTAACATGATTTAGTTTGATTTTGCTTGAATAAAATCGATAAGTTGCACATTGGTGGAAGCGTGCAAGTGGAGTGTTTCGAAAGTGTGAAACAAATTGTGATCTGTATTTCTTTCTCTGGTGTTAAGGGTGATGTTGAAGATGATGCAATGATACCCGATCGAGAGGAAGACATAAAACCGCGGTTCCACAAGTCGAGGACGCATACAGTGAAACAGGAGATCGATGGGCAAGATCATGATGAGGACAGTGATGACGATGATGATGGCCTAGACGATGACAACTCGTTATCCGAATGGAATCTGCGTAAATGTAGTGCGGCCGCATTGGATGTGCTGGCCAATGTATTCCGAGAGGAGTGTTTGCCCATTGTGTTGCCCATCCTAAAAGATACACTGTTCCATCCGACATGGGAGATTAAGGAGAGCGGCATTTTGGCCCTTGGTGCCATTGCCGAAGGCTGTATGTCTGGCATGATTCCACATTTGCCCGAACTGATACCGTACTTGATTCAATGCTTGTCGGATAAAAAGGCTCTAGTCAGATCGATAACATGTTGGACACTGTCACGATATGCCCATTGGGTGGTCACACAGCCGCACGAACAGTACTTGAAACCATTGATGGAAGAGCTATTGAAACGGATTCTCGATGCCAATAAGCGTGTGCAAGAGGCGGCCTGCTCCGCATTTGCCACATTGGAAGAGGAAGCGTGCACGGAACTTGTTCCTTACTTAGGTTACATTCTAAAGACATTGGTATTTGCATTCTCCAAATACCAGCATAAAAATCTATTGATTCTGTACGACGCCGTCGGAACACTGGCCGATTCAGTGGGCCATCATCTAAACAAGCCAGAGTACATAAATATTCTGATGCCGCCGCTTATTGAAAAATGGAATCTGCTGCAGGACGATGACAAAGATCTGTTCCCATTGTTGGAATGTCTGTCGAGCATTGCAACGGCGCTACAATCGGGATTTTTACCATACTGTGAACCAGTCTATCGTCGATGCATTTCGCTCATTCAACAAACGATAAACCAACAAGAGCTAGCAAACAGTTCGAATCCGACCCAATACGAACAACCTGACAAAGAACGTATGATTGTTGCACTCGATCTACTGTCCGGCTTAGCTGAAGGCTTAGACGTTCACATCGAATCGCTGGTTGTGAATAGCAACATTATGCAATTGCTATATCAATGTATGCAGGATTGTATGCCAGAGGTAAGCAACCGATTTGTTATCGAACCCAAATTGATTCCATTCCTAATTAATGTTCATTTCTTCATGTCATATATGCATGTGTATAGGTGCGTCAATCGTCATTCGCACTGCTTGGAGATTTGACAAAGGCATGTTTTCAACACGTAATGCCATACATGCAGGACTTCTTTCCGATTCTCGGTCAAAATCTAAATCCAGACTTCATATCTGTGTGCAATAATGCAACGTGGGCAATCGGAGAAATTGCGATGAAATTGGGTCAGTAATTATTGGGTGACTTATTGCAAATGGAAACCGTTGCAATTTTCACGTCATTCAAACTGATAATTTTGTATATGTTTGTGTGTTTGTTTACTTCAATTTAGGTGAGGGAACAAGGCCGTATATTCCACTGGTGCTAAGAGAGTTAATTGTCATAATCAACCGACCTAACACAACAAAAACATTACTGGAAAATACAGGTAAGAATTCTTCACAAGTATTAAGCGATTGCTGAGTCGCGCGCGCGAGTGTGTCTTCATATCTCGCTCTCTCTCTCTCTCTCTCTCTCTATCTTTCGTGTTTGGGTTTTTCATCGTATATGAGTTTTCAATTTATTACTTTTGAACATCGTTTCATTCACCCGAATACTTTTTTCTCTCTCTCTCTCTCTCTTACTCACTAACCCACACACACACTCTCACACATAAAATAACCTCGAACAAAGCGCACAAAAACATCCATTGACTTTCTTTGCTTCAACAAGGCGATGATTCATATGCAAATCGCATACCAATTCACAATTAATTTATTTTATAATGTCAAGTACAAAGATGCAAAAATTCGATGCTTGTTTTTGATTTGACAACAATATAACAACAACAAAATTCTAGCCCAAAAAAAAAACAAATCCCCCGCCCCCCCTTAGTTTAAACAAAAAAAATTTATCATATGAATAAACGAACAAAAAAAAAACCAATTGAAATTAAAATTCATTTTTATCAGTAACCGTTTTTGTCAAATTAATCTTAATAATTCATTGTATTTTTTTTTATATTGACCATTTCTCATTTCTTTCTGTTTCCATTGTATTTGTGTTTCGTTTTCTTTTTTCTTTCATTCGACGTGTGCTTTTCATTTTTGGACTTTCTGTTCCCATTTTTGTTTCATTTTTTCTTTTCGTTCTGCTCCGAATTTTATTCTCACAATTCTATCTTGTGTTCTTTTTTAATTCTTCTTATTCTTCTTCTTTTTGTTGTATATTTTGTTTGTTTTTTTTTCTTTAGCTATAACAATCGGTCGTCTAGGTTATGTGTGTCCTGTTGAAGTGGCTCCTTACTTACAAGATTTCGTACGACAGTGGTGTGTAACATTTTTTTTCTATTTATTATAATTACATTTAAATTTTTTAATTATCCTTATTGATAGAAGAAAAATAATCAAGCAAATTTTTTATATTAGATGGTCCAATTGGATTCGAGAAAGAAAATGATAGTTATTTTTTTTGCATCAACAAAAGCTATCAAATTTGACCATCTAATTTTTATTGAATTAATTTAGTTTCATTATTCAATAATTCTAGTATTTCGTTGATTGTTCATTTTTTTATTCAGTTTCCAACAACAACAACAACAACAAAAACAAATTATGTGTTTTTCTTCAGATCCACTGAAAAATGTACCAATTAATACGCACATCATATCAAGCTTTTTGTTTGGTTTCACCCGTTAATTACCATGCGTTCGATTGTTCATACAAAATGTTGAATTTTTAAAACTCTTGGTTAATATATGGGTTGACATTGATTGAAATTGGTTTTGGAATGATGAAAAAAATTGGAAACAGTCTAAATCGGAATGTGACACAAAAAAATTGGTTCGAAAATGTACCAATTGCACATTGTGCTATAACATGTTTTTAAACAAAAATTACCAAAAAATTTCGAGAAAAAAACCCTCCTCGAGTGCGAATATATTTTCAAATTTCAAGCATTTTCGATTGATAATTCACTGCTTTTCTAATTGTTTTATTTTCATGTTGTGTTTTTTTTTCTGGCAAATTTTCTATTCAGTTTTTCAAGACACATAATCTGTTTGAAAGCAGCAACCATTTTCCGTACTTATGATTTTTTTTTTCAAGAAACAAATAATCTGCGTGCATTTTTTTTCTCGAATAATCCCGTGGGAATTTACGGAATGAACATTACGTGTAATTTATTCTAACATCTTTAAAAGTCCCATAATGATTTTTGTTCAAAATCAAACAAATTCCATTTTCACTACATTTTCCGATGTTGCGTTGTTCCGGCGGCCGGGTCAATTGTGATGTTCTAATGGTTTGTTTTTTCTCCTCTTTTTTTTCTTTTCTTCCGAAACCAAAAAAAAAAAACAGGTGCACCTCGTTGCGTCATATACGTGACAATGACGAAAAGGACTCGGCGTTTAGAGGCATGTGTAACATGATAACAGTAAATCCCGTTGGTGTGGTGCCCGATTTTATATTTTTCTGTGACGCAATTGCATCGTGGGTGAATCCACCGAGTGATCTGCACGCAATGATCCAGAAAATTTTGCATGGCTTCAAAACACAAGTGGGCGATGAAAATTGGCGACGCTTTGTCGATCAATTCCCGCCAAATCTGTCAGAGCGTATGGTGACTATGTACGACATCTAAAGCGGACACCGTCCGGAGGATTAAGAGCAAACAAGCAGCCAATATCGCACCAAATACACACACATAAACACACAACACAGACGAGAGATACAGTAAACCTATGGAAATATGAGCGTAAATATGTGTATGCATTTTCCTTAAGTGAAACTCTTTACACAAATTCCATCAAATACCCCATTTTAACCACATACACAAAGAAATTCACGGAATAACAAAAACAACCAGCAACAACCAACAGCAAACAGAGAAATAAGAAAATACGAGAGAAATAGCGAGTGGCAGGTTTTATGTAAATTTACGAAGAATGGAAGAGAGTGAGAGTGCGAATGAGAGAGCGACATTTTAAGGACTTTAACGAAATGATTAACACAAAATCATGCAAAACAGGCTACAATTACCAATGGAATCACAAACATTTCAAACACTCACTGATTTACGAATTAAACCACAAACAAATAGGTCGCATCATTTCAAAATAAAATTGCCACAAATTTTAAAGAGAACCATCGTAAAGAAAGAATACGAGCAACAACAAAAAAACCATCAAAATCTCAGAAAAAAAATTCATTATTTGTTTCTATCATTTTAACTTATATAAAAAAAAAGTAGAACAATGCAATTGCACATCCTTTTTTCACTTCCAAAACAAAGAGAAAGAAAGAAGATGAGAAAACAAAATGTACCAAATTTGATAAACAAATATTTCGAACTGTTTTTTTCTTTTAATTTTTAAACGAACTAGCGCCCGTTATTCAAATTGTCAATAATATTTTTTTTAAGTATTTACCTTTGATTTCTTTGTTAAAAAGAAACATACACACACACACACACCTATACATTTCTATGGTTGGAAAAATAAAAGTAAAACGGATCACATTTCACGAATTGAGAAGTAGTTGAACATTTCATTGGAATATGTAGAGAAAAAAAAGAGAATAAAAGATGTAACAAAAACACAAACGAAATTTAACGCTAACAACAAACCAAGTGATTTTTCTTGTGCGAATGGAATAGGAGTAGAAGACATGTGATTTATTACGATAAAATAAATCAAAGGGAACAGAATGGAACCAAGTTGATAAAAGAAAGCAGAAAAAAAAAATAACCAAGAAAATGTAAGAAGAAAGTAAATCTCAGACTTTGGAAAAGTAACACGTGTAATTTTAGACATTACCCAATATTTTATTAGTCATAAATAGCAGCGCGTCTTTAACCATGATGATTTAAAAAGAAAAAAACAAAAAATTCTCTGTCTCCCTCTGATAAATCGAGACACAAAAACAGGGAGATATATGTCTTTTAAATTGAAACTTATTTTTTTCTTTCTTAATTCGTTCGATCGTTCGTTCATTTGTCAAAAGACAAAACTTTTTTAAAATTTAAAAAAAGAGACCTTGATTTTCGAAATTGTGCGAAAAAAAACTCAAAATTTAATTCGATGAATTGAAAATGTGCAGATTTAGAGAGAGAAAGAGAGCTCTGTGAGTAAAAATTAAAAAAAAAAAATGGATAATGTTACAGTAATAGTAGGTTTGTGATTCCTCTAGTTGGAATGAGATTCAATAGCGCTTAAATGGTAGAGAGATTTCGGTTCCTGCGTTCGAAATTTCACGCACATAGTGCACCGATGTTATGACGCATGGATAAAACCACAAACACACACACACACATACTTAATTGAAGAGTCAATTATCTGAAATTTTACTATAGATAAACAGCCAATCAATCAATACTATAAAATACATGTCAAAAACCAAGCAAAAAAAAAACAATTTCCATGTATAAAACCGACAACAATACACGTTCCCCCCAATCAACAACTCCATAGATTCCTGTCACTTCCTTTAGCTAAATCCAATAATCCTTCAATACTGATTGCTTTCCGGGGAAAAATCGTCTAACCTTTTTGTCCATGGCTTTTATTATCGATGCATTGCGTCGGGAAAAAACCATTCAACTGTTCTGTTCCAATTTCTTTTTTTCGTTCGAATTTACATTCAACACAACAACATTTTAAAAAGAAAATGGTCCAATGCAGCCAATTACCAAGCTAAACTTAAATTTAACCAGAGAGAAAACAAGAAAAAAAACACACACACACAATGTGTATGATGAATGAATGTGAAATGGTGTGATTGTGAAGAAAACAAATTGAATAAAAAAATAATAATTCTGTAGACTTTAGTTTAAATATCCTTGTACAGTAGGGTGTACATGTGCTAAGTGTCGATTTGCGTAATCAAAAACCACAAAACAACAAGAAACAAAACAATTTGTCGTGTATTTTTTTAGAAAAGACAAAAAAAACAACGGAGATGAATGGAAAACACAAAACAATTATTATCAACAACCGAATACAAGTGATTTTTTTATTAAGCGAGAAAAGAGTTTAAAAAAAACAAGCAAAATCAATATGCAGTTAGAGGAACAAATAAAACAAGATGAATTATTTATTTTTGAACACACACACACACACACTCACAATCTCACATAATTACTGCAAAATAGATCAAGTTAAAATTTATTATGAACCAGAGAATCACTCATTGATTTCCAGAGCAACAGAAGAATATTTTCGACGTATATGCAAAGTGAATCAATTTTAGGGTATTTTCTTTGTTACTAGTGCAGCTTTGCCAAATTTTTTCAATCATTTTTTTTCTCCATTTTGTTTTGTATCTCATTTTCTGTGTCTTAATATCTTTTCGCCTTTGTTTTTCTCTTAATTCATGGATTTTCTTGACTTTTTTTTCATTACTCGTTTTGTTCTCACACGGTTTCTGTCCATTGTTGCCAAGAATATGATTATCTGTTTGATCAGCCTCCGTGCGCGTTTCGCTTTATTTCAATTGTTTTGTGGAATTGAAAAGATGAGACTTATCGTTAACAAAGAATTGCAACTAATTCAATATCAACAGGTTTCTGTGTATAAAAAAAACAAATACTATTTTTTAGATAAGGGAGTGTATCACGGATAAGCATCAATTAAGCACACTTGGATCGATGACCAAAAAAATATTCTGGAAAATTTCTGTGCTATTTTTTCGAAAAATAAAAAAAAAATAACACAAATTAAGAAAGGAAAAAAGAGACAACAAGAACACAAACAAAATATATAAATACCATCCAATTTACTGTAAAAAGCGTTTTCTAACAAAAAATTCGTTGTTTTCTAAAATTAAATTAAAAATGTTCACAACACAAAACAAAACAAAACATGGAAACAAAAAAACAATGGCAAACAACACTAGAGACGACAAAAATACACTTTATCAACCTAGGTGGAACACATAATTAGTACATTTTATTTAACCTAAGCACACACACACACACACACGACAAATGAATTATTCGATGATTTTGTGATAAAAATAATGAAAATAATTAGAATACAACACACCACACACCAAATCTAGACACTTACACACAAACACACACAAAATACACAATTTAGAAACTCCATGAAGATTATGAAAAAAAAAAATTAAGAAACACGGAAAAGTAAAACAAAAACCAATTCTATTATTCTCTAAACTTCATTCTATTGAATAAAATGCGTCGGTATAAAAATGATAAAAACAAATTGTAAATAAAATAAACGTGAAACGTATAAACCAATGAATAAATAAATTTCAAATCTAAGAAAACCAATTATTAAAAAGGAAAACAAATACGTCGATTTAAATTTAAAAAAAAAAACTAATTTTCGTTGCGTTATATATTTCGGGTTCGGTCTTCGTCGCGTCGCGTTGCGTTAAAAGAAAATTTATAAAGAAAAAAAAAGAGAGAAAACAATTTGAAACAGTACATTGTTTCAATTTCACCGATTTTGAGCATTTTTTATTCAATGCATATAATTTTGTACTTTTCTCCGTTTGTTTGTTTATTCGAATTCTTATTTGATCAAGAATGGCTGAGCTAGTTTTTTTTTCTCTATTTTTTTAATGCATACAACTCAGCTTAGGTTTTTGTTCTTGTTTTTAAGCTCGAATAAAAATCGATTTTAAACAAAACGGTAGAAGCAAGATGAACATGTGCCATTCAAATGACCCCGAAAAAATCAAATAGAGATCAAATAAAGCAAGAAATAATTAAGAGACAACAACAAAAACAAAACAAATTTATTACAAAAATGGAACGGCTTAAAGTCACAACTCACAAAATAACCAATGCAAACTGTGCACACTGCCGGCAGAGTTTGGTTTTGAATTGAACTTACTTAGAAAGACTGAATTTTTTTTTCTCGAATAGGACAAAACTAACAAATGGTGATGGTGCATCAGGTGTACGTATGAATTATTATCAGAACACTGCAAATTTTATTCGATTTTAATGAACAGACAAGAGGTAGAAACAATTCAACGAATTAATTACAAATTATAACAAAAAAAAACTATACTATTATCAATTCAGTAACAGATTTGTTCGTTTTTTTTCGGGGTCAAACAAGCAAACGATTGTATAATGTTAGATAGTTATTTATTAAATGAATGCTTATTCTAAACTAAACTGTAAAAAGGCAAAACACAACACTCACACATAGAGAGAGAGAGAGAGAGAGAGAGAGAGAGAGAGAGAGAGAGAGAGA